ATGGTGTTTGAGAAAGACACCACTGCTACTGAGAAGTTAGAGATCATCCAGATGTCACGTCCACAGATATCAATCCTACAAGAACAGGTGTTACTTTTCCAGGAATCTCTGAATGAGCACCCAACTGCAGTTTTCTGGTCAATCTTTCTGGAGATGTCAGACATTCTCCACAGGTTCATCTACTACCAGCGGGAAGGTAACTGGGCAGGACATTTCTGTGAATCAGCACGAATGCTACCTTACCTCACTGCAGCAGGACACTACAAATATGGGCAGCAGTCTTTGCCTCTGTATTTGGCTGAGATTAAGAAACTGCCAGAGACAGCCACAGAGGCACATGAAGCACTGATGGCAGATGCATTTGTTGGAAGGAGAGCAGATGGAAACCACAATGGTGTCTCTCCTGACATGCTTCTGGAGCAGACATATAATGCAGATGCCAAGGAGGCAAGTGGTCTGGATGGTATTACACTCAATCGTGCTGCCAGGATGAAGTGGGTCTACACAAAACCACTCACTGCAGCTATCTCTACAGAGCTCAAGTCTATGCTGCACCTCCATTCCTCCAGCCCCCACCATGAATCTGGTTGGAGTCGTGTCAACAGGGATGCAGAGATGGTAGTCAAGGTCATGGCAGCAGTAGAGACCAACCCATTCACGACAGCCACACCATCCCTGATTAATATATCAACTGGTGAGTGTGCAGATCCCACAGTCAAAGACAACCTGACAAGTGTGAAAGCAGTTGGTTTGAAGGCATTGTCAGAGTCACTGTCCAGTGACCAGAAGAAGACAAGTGTTGTAAAACTAAACACCTTCCATACACAAAACAGGATGAAACCAAAGAAGTCTGGCGGGAAAACCTCTGCACCTGGCAAGAGCAATGAAGTCACTGCCCTTCTGCGCATGACCCAGATCATTGTCAGTGGTGGAGAACTCAACATTGTTGACTTCATAAGCCGCGTTCACACCGGAGTACTTTTCACCGTACTTTTCGCGTTTAGTTCCGTTAGTACCCCTTATGTCGCGTTCACACCAAAAAGAGCACTTAATCTCGGGAACTTTTACCCCCATTTTAGTGCCTGCTGAGAGATGGTACTTTCCTGGGGGAAAAAAGTGCCCCAGTTCTGATTGGCTGGGCGAATTGCAAACCACGCCCCGTACAACTCTGAAATGTTTTGTAGAGCCGACATTTTATTATCCTGGCATTAGCATTATTAGCATTAGCATTCGCCCAGTGCACAAACGCAGAGAGACTAACTTATGGCAACACAAAATAAAACATAGGAGCGGTGGAGATGAGGAGGTGTCGGCGTTCTGGCGATTTACTCGGAAGGCTTCAGTAGAAGCTGCTGGGAGTCCCAGCAGCTTCTACTGAAGGCAGTCCCCAACTCCGGGGACTTCCGGCCGGGGACTTCCGGCCGGGGACTCCGGGTGGCAGTATACGCCGTGAAGTTGTTTGCGGCCTGCCAGTAAACCCAAAGCAGAAGAAGACGAAGTGATGTCAGCGGCTCATTTGCGTAATCTTCCCTCAGGGAAAAGTACTCCGGTGTGAACGCGATCTGTACTAAATGCCCTGGGGCAATAAGTGCCGGGGCACTGAGTGCCGGCACTAAATACGGCAAAGTACTTGGTGTGAACGCGCCTATAGGCAACCACGAGTGCAGTGACCTTCCCCCATCCCTCTTCCAGGAAGATGGCAGTATGAGAACAGGGACCAAGGCAAGCCTTGTGAAGATCTTGAAAGAGAAGACCAAAGTAAGCAGCATCCCTGATCTGCCCCAAGACTGTCTTTTTTTTCAAGACAGTAGTAAGCGTAGATGCCATGTCCGCCATACGACACTGGTCTTTCCACACAGGTGAAGGATTTGGAGTTATCGCTGAGCGATATAGGCACCTGCTGCTGAATGATGTGCCTCCTGGCACTGACATCATACACTTCTGTTGTGACAGATACAGTACAACCAGCCTCAAGTCAGCTGAGCAGGAACAGAGATATGCCAGATCCAAACCAGCGAAAGTGTATGAAGTCAGTGAGCAGTACACAGCTCCGGATCCAAAGAAGTTTGTTGCAGTGTTTGCTAACAAAGCAAACCTGCTGAGCTTCATTTGTCATCACTCCATGCCCTTCATCCACAGTCTGAGTGGTAGAGATACCACTAGTTATCCATATTTCACTGGCAAGAAGGCATGGTTCAAGAGCAGCATGAGTCTGGACATACCTGCACTTGAAGAGTTTGGTGAGAACCCTGCCGATGCCATAACAGATGACCTCCTCAATCAGGCACGAGACCTCACCATCACTGTGTATACATCCAAAGCTGATCACTTTGAGGGTTCTGATCTGGGCAAACTGAGAGCATACAAGTTCCTGAACAACAAATCAACGCTCCTAAAGCTACTAGGAGCTTGCATTTCTGCTGCACCTGAAAAGAGCTGCGGCAACCATCATTGACAAGAACGCACACATCGCCAAGCCAGAAATCCCCCCATGCACAGAATTTGGATGGTCTCTGGACAATGGACATGTAGTTCCGGTACCATCTACAAAGCCAGCTTGGCCTGTGTCAATGAACAAGACAATCTCATGTGGATGTCTCAAGGGCTGTCAGAAAAACTGTTCCTGTGCAAAGAATGCAGTTCCATGCTACATAGGGTGCCGTTGCCAAGGACTGGCAACCAAATGCAGAAGGATACACTCTGCCACACTTGAGAGCAGTGACAGCAGCTGTGACTCAGAAAATGAATAGAAAGCAAAAAGCTTTCTGGGACACTATCATGAATACCACCATGTGTACATTGAAAACATTTGTACTGTATATTCAGTGTAGGTTACTTTTTCCCCCTTTCTTCTTAAAACATTCACATTTTTCTAGTTCTGGGCCATGTGAATGATTATTTTGTGTTCAACTTCTGATTATCGTGTCATATCTGTTGATTTGTAGTTAATAACTAAGAAAAGAGTATGTGAAAGTGAAATAAATGTTTTGCCACCAGGAATTTTGTTTATTTCATGATCAAAATAGGATATTTTTCACAAAAACAAAGACATTGATTTGTACAAATAATAAAAGGGTATTGATTTGACATTAAGTTGAACTTAATGTCAACTTCCAGATACAATTAACTCAGTTTGCCTTGTCCTATAACATAGAAAACCTTAAATTAAAGGGTTTTGCAAAGAAAGTGGCGGCCATTTTGAATTTCGCTGCCTGTAGCTTTCCAGTCTGTAAACTGAAACATCTGTAAACATTGAATCAATTCAACTTAGCATCGGCAGCAAACCTTGTGTATATTAATGTAAACCCTTCAATATGTTATATATAAATAATCTTTTAAGTATATTTACCAATTTTGAACACAGCAAACAATCCAGAGGACCATAAATGCATTGCTTGAAATGAATTTAGCTTTGGAGAGACAAAAAAGGCTCAGCGCCATCTAGTGGCCTTATTGAGAACAGGCTTAACCAAGGCATCACCTGAAAGCTTATTTTCTGCTCTTTCAATAGGTTGGCTCAGTTTGTCTTGACCATGAACTGTCACAGAGATATTCAATCAGCAAGAGAATGATGGCATCTGATCCAGCCAGAATTTTTGACTTTTTTTCATATATGGGTTGCATTGTTTGGACCCTCACTGTAGCTTTCCAGTAACTAGTTGACCGGGTTGTCCACCCAGGTTGTGATCCTTGAAGGTCCTAGATATCATTTCTGGTGGACAACCTTTTACAACATTCCATGTCTGTAAAATGACTTTGCCCCCTGGGTATAAGGGTTTTTTTTTTATTTGTATGTTCAACTTCAGCTATAGGCCTACTATCATTGACACATCCCTGATTAGGAAAACGTGCCTAGCATTTAGTATAACGTTCAGAAAATAATTTGGTGTTTGTGTTGGGGGGACTGGTGATATGTAGTTTAAAAACATTTACCAAGTGAAAGTGTAAAATTATATGAATGTGTAGTATTTTTGTAGCAGTTTTATGAGGGTGATTCATTGTGTAAGGTATACACAAGTAGACAATATTTAAAAAAAATGCATTTAAATCAATATTGTTGCTAAGCATATATAAGAATGTGAAACAAGTCCCCTAGAATTATTTTGATTTGTCTATTGTGTTCATGGGGAAACAAAAGTAACAATGTGTAAACAAACTGTCTTTAGAATTCAGAAAAAAATGAATATTTGATAGTGATCAGGATTTCTGTTTTATTACATTTTATTAAATGAAAGTGAAAAATAATATTAAGAAATATTGTTAAGGATTTTTTTGGACGATTACATTATTTCCTCTGAGGACATCAAACAAACTTTGTTTTGCATTACAGTGTCTTCTTGTTAAAGACATTAAGTGTTAAGTCAACCTTTACTTCTGCATCAAGTTCAAGCATGTTCCTCAATGTTGTTATATTTACTCGACTACATTTATATAACAATTTAAATGATATATACCTTAAATTGAGATCTGATTCAAAACACCTAATGGGCTTGTAAGATATGATGAATGCCCTGTTATGATTATACAACACAGAGGTTCACATAATTGCTTTAATTACCTACACTATAAGCTCCACCTTCACCAGTAAACCTTTTACATTAATGCATGAGTAATGAGTTATTATAATCAAAATGTATAATGTTTATCTATGTAGATATATATATATATTTATAAATACAGATAGATACATTTATAAATATGTATATATAAAGATGTTTTTATAAATATATCTATAAACATACATTTAGACTGTAACACTGGTCTTTTTTTCCTGCATTATGAGAAATATTCAGGGCTTGACTTTAACTTAAAAAGTACTTTTATATTGCGGTATTATTTTTACCCATTTTAAGGTTCTGAAAGCAGCCGCCAGAGGTCAAAATATTAAATTAAATATATATATATATATACCAATATATTTTCCCATTGGTGTCTATCCATTCCGATAACAACGCTTCCTCTGTTCACCTCTTACCTTTTGACTTCCCTCTAGAGTGAGCATGACCGATGGACAGATGAGGGAGAGGCGGGAGGTGGCGCTCACGATACAAGAAAACAGAGTTTCCACTGAGGAGGAGCAGCTGCCCTACCCGAACCTGGCCCCTGTAGTTTTCCGCAGCTTAACACAGACCACAAGACCCCGTAACTGGTGTTTGCAAATCGCCTGTGGCCCATATCCTTTTCTTACTGCTGGAAGTTTAACCTAACCTAACCCTAACCCTCTGACACCTGGTAAAACCAATTATGTGAAATTAGAATAAATATCATATAATTTATGTCTGACTGTCGCATATTACAACATTTTATACATTTGGCCATTATTATTATCATTAATTGCCTCTTTTACATAATCCTCTCATCTCATCCTTTGTGTTTTGACCTTAATATTTTCCTCCACTTGGATGGAGTATATGTCCATACTGATGATCCTGCTCAACTGTGTAAGTTTGGGCATGTACGAGCCCGGTAAAGGGAAGAGCTACAAACTAGAGGTACGTGTAACCGCTGTATTCTTCTGAGTAGGTCAGGGCAGGGAAATGTACTGTGTCATTAACATCTACTTCCAATATAATGAATGCCTAATTGCGAGAGTAGCTTAATTATGACATAACTGGTTAATAATAACTTATTGTATATTCTTTTTTGTAAATATATGCAATAAATTGAAAATGTTCCTCCGTGTTTCTGGCCAGGTGTTCGATTTCTTTGTCTTTGCATTCTTTCTGGTGGAAACGACCATCAAGATGGTGGCCTTTGGAGTCTATGGCTACAAAAACAGCTACCTTCCAAACAAATGGAACAAGTTGGACTTCTTCATCAACATTGTAGAGTAAGTGACTCACAATGCAAAACAGCCAACATATGATCCATAGTGTACACACTGTACACTGTACATATGCTTATCAATCAAATCTATTGTTGATAGGCTTGTTTATGAACAGACTGCTTTAATATTTAGTATTACATTTTGTGATGGTTTTTGTTTTGTTCATGAAAGAAGGCAAATTCAAACTCTTCTCCTTGTTTTAACTGTCCCTTCAGGGCGTTTGGATATTTTTTCAATATCCTTGGCACCGACTTTTTACTCTCTCAAGTCTTTGGACCGTTGCGACTGATCAGCAGAGTACCAAGTAAGTTGATATTTAAACACATTTCAGTGTTCCTTAAAACATTTTGTTTTGCAGTGTTTTCTCTTTCAAATATACATACAATAACTGCTATGTATTTGTGAGTGATATTTCCTCTTTTTACTAATGGTCTCTTACATTTGAGAAATAACAGGTCATTAGCCATGTGAAAATGTAGAACTACATTTAACAACAATTGTAAACATCTTACATTTGTATTTTAGTATTATAATTATCCCCTTTGATGAATCTTAAGTGCAAAGTGAAAAAATCTGATATTCCTATTCCAATCCTATTGAAAAAAACAATTAGTTCCTTAGTGAATCTTTTAGTATTCATACCATTCTTACTAGATATGATGAAAAAGGTATCACAATATTTTTGGCTATGATGAAAATCAAGAATGTATACATCATGATACATACACAGAAATAAAGAAAGATAGTAATACCTCTGCCATCTATTGCAATTCCATACACTGTTCCTGTAATCCCATAACAACTGCTGACGGCATCTTTTTGCCTTTATTCCTGTAGGTGTGCGGGACGTAGTTACAGTTCTCATAGACGTCGTGCCCATGCTTGCAATTGTTCTCGTCATCTTCTTGTTTGTCATCCACATCTTTGCCGTGGTGGGAGTCCAGCTGTGGGCAGGCCAGCTGCGCAACCGCTGCTTCCTGGGAGACGACATTCCCACGTAAGGTTTTAGTCTGTTTTTCCATTATTTGCATGTTTTTCCCTCTCCGTCCTGCTTTAACAATGACCAATTCCCAAATAATTCTCCAAGTATTTCTTGATTTTTTTATTATAATTGGTCTATAAAATGTCAAATAATTGTATAGTAAAATAAAATGGCCCATCCCAATTTTCCAGGACCTAAGGAGATTTATTCAGATTCGTTTTATTTAACTGACTTGCATTCAATAGGTATGTATAATACTATATATAGAGAGAAATATAGTGAAAACAATATAATGGTATTCAATTAAATGCATTTCCTCCTTTGATGTGTGAAAATGCTAAGAAAAGCACAAACTCACATTTTCTGTATATAAGAACATAAAATAATAATTGTAATTTACCTTGATGACACATGTCACGGCACACATTACATCCTGTTGTATGACTTGGTTTATATTCACATTTATCAATTATTTAACTGAACTGAGTTGTATAACTATGTATCATTAACATGATACACTGCATATCAATTCTCTATCTCCCAATCACAAAAAACGCATCATGTGAATTCTTAAACATTTGTAATGGTTCATTATTTCTAGTTCATTTCATCTGTCTTTCTTTTTCTGTACAGAAATAACAACATGTCCCTTAGCCCATACTTCGAGACCATGTTTGATGAAAAAGTCCCGTTTGTCTGTACGCGGGAAGGCAAGAGCGGGACGCAACACTGCCGAGATATACCCCCTTACCAAGAGAATGGAGGAAACTGCTCATTGGCTGCCCCCCACAATGCCTCAGCTGCGAATTGGGGAATCCCTACAGTGGCTTCACACACCTGTATAAACTGGCACTCTTTCTACAATGTCTGTCGTGCTAGTGAGAAAAACCCCCACCGGGGAGTGATCAACTTCGACAACATCTTCTACGCCTGGATAACCATATTCCAGGTAATAAGGTCTTTCTTTATAAAGTTTTCTATCTGTGTATGCACCTCAACACCAAGTCAAATTCCCTGTGTGTGTTAACCTACCTGGTAATAAACCTGTTTCTGATTCTGATGCAAGGATATGTGAACATGTGGTAGCATGAAACATGGTGAGCGCAGAGTTCTATGTAATTCACTCTATAAATGTTATTTATATCACTCTATCTCTCTGTTCCCCAAAGGTTGTCACACTAGAAGGATGGGCTGAGATCATGTTTTTCATAATGGATGCTCATTCCTTCTTGAGTTTTTTATTCTTCATGCTGGTCACCGTTGTGAGTAGCCTTTTGTCTTTTTGCAGTTAACAACCTTAGTATTTGACTGTGTTTCTAGGTCTCTAACAACCTCTGAATGATGGTTTGGTATTATTCCATGTGGTTTATTTGAGATCTGGTAGACAAAAGGGTCTGTAAAGTTGGTTAAATAACTTCAGTAACAATCATGAAAATCCAACAGCAGCAGTCAAATACACTGAAAGTGAGTCTTTATTGAATCCAAAATAGTTGGCCCAATGCTGAAACCCTGTTGCATAATAATGAGACTCAATGAATACTTACATTTTCACTTTACTCCTGACTTGCTGCAGTTCTTTTTCAAATGACCTGGAGACAGAGAGCCATCTGATAACTGTAGATTTGTGTTTTTCGCTTGGGTTAACAGCAAATGGGAGCTATGTCCTCACAATTTGTTTTACATGTGATCATGTTGAAGAAATATTAAAAGACATATAAGCTACAACTTATTTATTTTGGTTTTGTTATTTAATTTCAGACTGAGAACAAATGATTTGGACACTTGAATTGCACTTTTGCAAAACTTGATATTTTATTTTCAAATTAAACAGAGTTATAGAAAATGTGTAAGAGCATGCAAAAGAAAAGAATAACCAGAAAGAAACTGAAAGAAAATGAGAATGAAGAGGAAAGACAAACGAGGCTTGCTTTAGATTTTTCCCAGTTTTTGAGCAGTTGCACTAAATACCCTTTCTTTACTTCCCCAATCAGATGGGCTCCTTCATCATAGTCAACGTCTGCGCAGTCGTCATCGCCACCCAGTTCTTGGAGAATATGAAACTGAAGTCAGAAGAGCCGAGTCCCGGTGCTGCGTGTAACGCTCTGCGTCTGCTCTGTCGAAGGTTTGCCTGTTGGCTGCGGAGGTTCAACAGGTAAGTCACTCTTTAAGCTCTGCATACCGTACAACCAGGATGTCAGTACCACTTACTGTAAAATGCATTGTGTTTTTGCCGTCAAAATAGTACTTTTCAGTGCTGTTGTGTGTACAACGGTGTAAGATTATGCAAGATGTATTATTCGATTTCTTCCAGAAGGTAATCCTACAGTATATGCAAATGCCGTAGTCATAATATAACTTTTTTAGTTTCAGGTTGGGAATGTCTAGGTAGAGAAAATAAATGTCCTTTACACCCAGAGACGAAGGTTAAAGTGTAAATGAATCTTGAATATGATCTTAGTTCAACGTGCCTACTGCTCTCCGTGTGAAACTGAATGTGTTGGCATGGAATAATCGCATTAGTCAATATGTGTTTTCTCAGAATGGGACCCCATAAATGTTTAGAGGCAATTCCAGAAAGAGATTCATTCAAAAGCAAACAAAGATGAAAATGCACAGAACAAAACATGAAATCATTATTTAACATGGAACTAACTCTCTCTTGGTCTTTTTTGGTTACTTACTGTTGTTCATGTGCTTCAACCCATAGAAGTAACAAGGTGCAACCCAATGCCGGCCAAAAGGGAACTTTGGGATCGGTGAGGCTCGTCAGCAGCTTTCTGCAGAACCAATGTTACAACACTGCTGCCCCATCTAACTGACTCCCTTATCTTTTAGATTTTGAGACCCTTCAACAAGCACATTCGGACGTTGGTTGAGAGCTCACAATTCGACCATGTGATCATGTTTGCTGTTTTCCTCAGTATTATCACCATTGCAGTTGAACATCATAATCAGGTGAGGAGCAAAGTGTTTCTTTGTCTAGGCTTCTATGGATTCCTGTGGTTTGATTAGAGTATGTTGTTATGCTGGGGGTGAAAAGAGGAATACTATAATGAGATATTAACAATTTCTTCTTTCCCTTCTTTATTTTCCTTTTGGCTCTTCCAACAGCCTCCTAAGATGACACACGTGTTACACATCTGTAACATCGTTTTCACATTTGTATTTTTTGTGGAGATGACGTTAAAACTGATCGCACTCTGCTTCAAATACTTTTTTGATCTGAACAACATCTTCGACTTTGCCATTATTATTGTCAGGTAATGTAATCCCATCCAGTCCCACATGAGAACTACACTCAGAGTTATATCCTGTAAAATCTTTGAAATGTATATTACATTCAACCAATTTCATTATTTGGGGTCTGACAATTCTACACAAAAATTGAGGTTTATGACACTGACTCCATGTATATATTTATACAAGTTATCAGTGTTGGAATGTAACTTAGTGCATAATTCAAGTATTGTACTCTAATACTTAATGTATTAACCCTCATAGTGAGTTACAAATAAACACACATGATACGCTGATATGATATGATTGACCAACCACATCATTAAAATGATATGACGTGTATTTGTTGACGATAAAAAGCAGAATAATATTATGCTATGCGATACTATAATCAGTGCTGGAGATAAGTTAAGTTCATGCACTCAATAACTGTATTAAAGTTCATTGATAAGTACCTGTACTTTACTTAATTACTTTCATTCTATGCTACTTTAAACTTCCACCCCTCTACTGTACATTATGCCGCGTTTCCACTACACGGCCTCGCTCGGCCCCGCTCGGTATGGCTGGGCCTCGTTAGGACTGGCTCACTTTATGGCGCATTTCCATTACAGTTTAGGAACTGGGGCAGTATCTATAGTAACGCAGTGTAGGCGGAGCCGTGACGTGATCTTCAGAGGACCCCAGAAAAACAACACAGCCGTTAGCTGTTAGCACTCAGAGCTCACAGCTCCTCATATATGTTCAGAAACTAGACAAAAGTTAAACAAGTACAAACCACAGACTGCCTGTGTCATGGTGAATACAGTCGCTGCTTTATTTATGTCTGTATAGGCCGTTGTTGTGAGTGTGGACGGTTGGAGCATATACTGCGTTAGCTTGGCCAATCTCCATTTAGAAAACAAGCATTTTAAAAGGTTTTTCCCCTGCCGTCTGTCTGCAGACTTGACAAAGCATTAATTCATGGTTTTTACTAACCGGTATCAGTATGTTGTTACTTCGGCATCATTTTGAAACGTGTATTACAATTAAATCACGGTCAAATATGTCCATCTTGTTGTAGTTGTTGCCCCCTTGCCAGCGACGCTCTCTCTAGTTTAGCATACTCAGCCCGACTCAGCCTCGTTGTCTCTGGCCCTGGACCCACGATTTTATGAGGCCAGAAAACTGTGAATTAGGACCCGCCGGCCGGTACTAGGCCAAGTGGAAACGCAACCAAAGACGGGCCGCTGACGTCACAGCCCTCTTAAACCGGGCTGCGGGCTGTAGTGGAAACGCGCCATTATATGGTTCTCTGCCAATAATGTCCATATCTCACCTAATTTTTAAGTTAAAGGGAAAGTACTTCAATCTACATTTTGCTGCTAATACCTTTACTTAAAGGGCCCATGTCATGGCCATTTCCACTGATCATAATTCCATTGTTGAGGTATACTAAAATATATTTATATTGTGCAATTTTCCAAACTCACATTGGTTTCTCATACAGCATCTCTGTAAACTGCGTGTATTCACTGAATTTCACTCTCTGCCTTTAACGGCTCGTTGTAGCTCCCAAAGCTCCAGCCCCCACCCTCCCTGTGAGCACAGTGTGCTCTGATTGGTCGGGACGTTGTGAATCGCGCTGAGCTCCGTGGAGGTGTTGTTTCCTTGTTAGCGATACACAGCCAAACACAGCCAAACTCATCCTGAGCACACACAAAGTCACAGCCGAAGTAAAAACAATAAGTGTGGCTTGATATTGAGTAAGAAAAAGGTTGATAAACGCTGTGAGAATGGGTCTGCAGAGAGAATTTCGCCGCGATCCCAACTGTCTGTTATCAGCCTGCAGCCAGGGAGGAGAAATCAGCTGAGCTGCCTGCTCCCTGCACACAGATGTGTGTGTGAGGAAGTCCGTGGATTGGTCAATTTGGACCAATCAGCGGGGGCTTAACGTAACGGCTCCGCGGACGTAACTTAACGGCTCCACGGATTGGTCCATTTCGTTCCGGGTACGGCTTGACATCATGCCGTACCCGGAACGAAATGGAAGAATCAAATGGACAATGACGTATCTCCAACGAGGCGTTTTGGGGAGGTATTTTCTGTGTTAGAGTTTTACTCGCTACAGGGTGTACTTTGAGGGTTTGTGACTCTGCACACCGTTTACATGCATAAAAACCCTCATAACACACAAGGGGACGGGTAATAACCGGAAAAGCATGACATGGGCCCTTTAAGTCAGCGTTTCTTCTTGTTTGTGGTGTTTAGTGTGTGGGAGCTAATTGCCCAATCAGATGGCAGGTTGTCAGTGCTGCATGCTTTTCGTCTGCTGCGGTTTGTGAGGCTTCTTCACTTCCTCCCATACCTGCTGAGACAGCTGCTGGTGCTGAAGAGGACCATCGCCGAGGCAGGCCCGCTCTGCATGCTGCTGCTGTTCTTCACTTTCGTTTGCAGGCATGTACACACAAAGATCCAACCTCCCTCTCTATCATTCGTTCGAGACATTTGTAGTATCGCAGAAAATCCCATATTATATGTTCTATTACTACAATAATGATCACCCATGAGATACACACATTTGAACAGTGGTAATTGAAGACGTATACTCAAGTACTTTACGTAGTTATAATTTGGAATACATTAATATTATCTGGCACGAGGTAAACATTTTACTTTTCTGCAGTTAATTTATCTGACACTCGGTTACTTTTTATATAAATAACATGGTGTGTTGATAAGATATATACACTACTATTCTACTCAGCAGTACACAAACTATACAACATGTTATCCACATGAGTACTTTTACTTTTGATACTTTAGGTACATTTAGCTGATAATACTTCTGTACTTTTACATAAGGAACATTTTGATCTCAGGATCTTTACTTGTAATGGAGTATTTTTAGAGTGGTATTACGTAATAAGTAAAGGATCTGAGTATTTCTTTCACCCCTGGATTTCAATGATTTTGACTACATGTTGTGGTTTCTCTGCAGTGTACTGGGTATGCGTCTGTTTGGTGGTCAATTCATATTCAAGGACCCTCAAGGAGATATAATCATTGAGCGAAAAAACTTTGACACCATGCTCTGGTCCATGGTCACTGTGTTCCAGGTACGTCTTTGTATTTCTTAATTTGAGCTCTCATGATTGTAATCCACCCTTATGCATTGTTTGCCTTAATATCTATCAGTGATATACTCCTTTAATCTATCAATCCAGATTCTGACTCAGGAGGACTGGAACCTGGTGCTGTACAACGCCATTACGGCTACCACGCCATGGGCTTTCCTGTACTTTGTCACCGTCATTATGTTAGGAAAACATGTACTTCTCAATATTCTCGTGGGCATAGTGGTTCAGAGCTTCCAGGAAAAGGTAAAGACCTCTGTCTTCTCCAAGAGCTCGATGTTTTACACACAAAAGCTAGGCACACTCAAACACCAATGCCGTACTCTACTTCCTGTTGTTCCAGGAGTCCTCAGAATGCGATCAAGACTCTTCTCGCGTTGACGAGGATTTCAGCGACTCTGTAACCAGCTTCACCTCAGAGACAGTAAGTCTCTAAGAGTCATGAATCTTTGAGATGTTGGTGAGAAACGTTGTTGCTTCTCCCTTGTTGAGATAATAGTTACGGTTTGTAAGACATGGGGTGATGTACCTGCTCAGTCATAGACACTGTCCCACACACACCTTGCTATTTCATTTTGTTCCAGGACCCCTCGAGACCCAGCCAATCTCCCTTAACCTCTGAGAAAGACACTGAACCAGCAAATACCCAAGAAGACAATGCAAGTTCCTATGAGTAAAAGTTATAGTATAGAATAGAATAGATAGTTATTAAGTCTGGTTTTGAACTCAACCGAGAGTTAATCCTGGGGTGAAAATGTTAGGTTACAAACAATAATGTTGCATAAATATGGTCATGTGTCTTTGCCAGAAATCTCTAAGCAACATGTATGCTAGTGTACTGCTTTAATGTTCATGGGGGTTCTTTGAAATATTTATTTCACGCTTTGGCTAAAGAGAGGCAGCGGATGTGTAACTTCTACCCTCCCTCTTCAGAAACCTTTGACCTGTATCCAGCAAATGCTCCACTGGTGCAAAGAACATGAAGAGTGGGCATTCTACGTCTTTTCTCCACAGAACAGGTACGATTAATAGGTAACGATATTTCTATCATCATCATCTGTACTCAAAACATTTAATAAATAATAATTAAAATGTCAGGGCCAAATAATCAGTTTGTCCATCATACACTAAAACTTTTGGATTGTGAAACAGGTTTTTAAATGCATTGCATGTGGTGTTAAAAAGTCTTATGAATTATTCATATCTTAAACTGCACTGTAACTTTTATCCATGTATTTTTTCTTTTAATGTTTCTTTTATTATCTTTTCTTTTTAATGACTAATTTTAAATGCCATTTTCTTAATGTCTTCCATTTTTGTAAAGCACTTTGAATTGCCTTGTGTTGAAAGGTGCTATATAAATAAACTTGCCTTGCCTTGCCCTTGCCTTGCCTTATGCTTATTTATTTTTAAACTGCAGAATCTGTGTTGTATGAAAAGGCGACCAGTTTGAGCCAGTCACATCGCATTTGATTGATACATCTATGTGTACATTTCCGATTTCAAAATTAATATTTCATTGTTTTACAGGAAGTGAAAGAGAGAGATTTTGATAAACAAACTTGATGTATTTTTTGCATATCCCAAGGGAATCAAAAATATTTAACACCTCACTTTCTTGTAATTGCTTCCTCTTATGTTTAACGGACTTTGTTAACGAAGGTATGTGTGTATGTCTTTAGGTTCCGAATCTATTGCCAACGTTTGATCTCTCACAAGTTGTTTGACAACACGGTTCTCCTATTCATCCTGCTAAGCTGCGTCACCATTGCTATGGAGAGGCCTGCAATACACGATGAAAGCACGGTGAGAAACCTGCAATTACTGTTAGTCTGGAGACATAAATTAAACCCTCAAACACAACCCTATCTAATCAGACACACACAAGCATCGTACGATCAATGTAGAACACACACAGTAATCATATTACATGTACTGTGGGATGAGAGGAGGCATCAATGTAGAATAAGAGACACACAAAGTCAAGATTAATGTTTTGCATCTTATGGAACAAATAATATGTAATATGATTAAATGTCATACAAATACAGGCAGGATATAATTGAATCTCACCCTGCCCTTTAGGAGCGATGGATCCTGAATATGTCGCGTTACGTGTTCTCCAGTGTCTTCCTGGTAGAGATGCTCTTTAAGGTAAGATCTGTTTTGTTTTTTAACAGTTTTAACTTTATGACCCCTAATTTGTTAAATGAACTGTCCAATACCTGCTGGGTGGAGATCAGAAATGAGAATTAAAGGAAAATGTATAAACAATATATTGCAAATTAAACGAAAAGATAAAGTTACGTTTTTGTATTCATAATTTTCTAGCTTTAAATACATTTTGTAGCTCAGATTTTCAGGAGTATTTGAAAAAGGCCCATATTATTGTATTAAGACGTCTTAATTGATCCATTGTTGCTGTAACAACAGGTTGTAGCTCTCGGTGTGTTCTTTGGGAAGGACTGCTACTGCAGCTCTTCCTGGAACGTCGTGGATGGTTCGCTGGTGATTCTGTCGGTAATTCATATCATCATCTCTCTGGCCAGTTCGGGCGAAAACAACATGCTGGGCATTCTCAAAGTTTTGCGCCTGCTACTGACACTTCGCCCACTGAGGTACAGCAGAGCATAGATGTTTGTTTTCTTTTTGTGTGGATTTATGCACATGTTTATGTAATATGGCTGCGCTGGCGTCACACCTCATGTCATAGTTGGGTAATTTGGCAGTGTGTGTGTGCTGGTTCTAAGAAAAAAAGTTTGTTTATGTCTGTTTTCCAGGGTGATCAAGCGGGCCCCCAAATTGAAGCTGGCTGTGGATGCTTTGATCACATCCATCAAACCCATCGGTAACATTGTTTTCATCTGCTGCACCTTCTTCTTTTTCTACGGCATCCTTGGGGTACAGGTACTGTGGAAATGCACGCGCACACACACACACACACACACACACACACACACACACACACACACACACACACACACACACACACACACACACACTTATCCTATGCATCGAAAGTTAAGGCTTTGTAATGACATGGCAATGGTGGATTAACACTCTGTCTCTGTTTCTCTCTCACACTGTACACTGTAGCTGTTCCAAGGGAAGTTCTTCCACTGCTTGGGTCAATACACAAAGCACATCACCAACAAGTCTGACTGTCTCTCAGCCAACTATCTCTGGGTGCAAAAGCCGTACAACTTTGACAGCCTGCCTCAGGTAAGGACTGACGCTCTGTGAATGAGACAGGGAAAGGCATGGAGGCTGCAAGCATTCATGACAGCATCTCCAAACACAAAACTAACAAAATAGACACTAGAAATGAAATTGGTTAATCATGCTTAACATTCATATATTTAAAAAAATGTCATCTTATCTTCACCCAATGTGGTCCATTATATACTTAAATTACCCTCAAAAAGGTTTTACTTTATTGTTGTTTACACAGAGTTATTTGTAGTGTCTTTGATGTTTAAGCAAATAAGATTAAAACTTGGAAAATAGCAATGTGATAACTTTACAGTTCTTTCTTTGTTTCCAATTTAGGCTCTGATGTCCCTTTTTGTCATGTACTCAAAGGACGGATGGGTGAACCTAATGTATGATGGACTGGATGCTGTGGGAATAGACCAACAGGTATTTTTGTTGGCAATATGCAACATGTACACATGGTATCAGAAGAAATAAATTCTTATGTTTATTTTCTTCTCTTCTAAGCCCGTGAGAAACCATAACCAGTGGATGCTTGTTTTTTTCATCACGTTCATGGTTATGAGCTTCTTCCTCCTCGATATGTTTATCGGTGTAATGGTGGAGACCTTCGCCCAGTGTCAGCAGCAGCAAAAAAAATAAAATAAAGAGGAAGCATCACATGACCCGAGCAGGAGTAAGGAGCCTTTTAAAGTCTAAAAACCACAAACACTGAAAACAATGTAAAAATGTATTCAAACAGATAGTGTACTGGGTTTACAAGATTATTTTTGTTGAAAACTAAAAATGTGATGTGTCGATAGGAACTGCACAACCGTATGTGTGTAAGTCTTCCAATACACACTTCATTGCACCCATTGTCGATATAGAAATATCAATAAATGCAGTTCTAAATGCTTTGGGCATTTGTAACTAATATGTCTCCCATCTCTGTTCACATTCATTTGAATATCTCCATGTTTGTGTGTCTACATTTCAGACAAGCCTAAGAAGATACCTACGCAGACTCCATATTACACATACTACTCCCCGATGCGTCGCTCCATACACACTCTGTGTACCAGCGACTTCCTTGACGTCTTCATGGCCGCCGTCATTTTGATGAGTGTCCTCATCATGGCCTTCCAACATTACAAACAACCTCTGGTAATTGCACACACAGTCCCTGTCTACAGCTTAGAAATGCCACAAAAAAGGAATGTGCATTGACTCTAGGAGGGGATGGAATTAAACCGTTTGCTGTCTGTGTGTTCAGTATATAGAAAGGCTCACAGAGTATTCGTACTATGCCTTCACTGTCCTCCTGATCATTGAAGTCCTCTTGAAGATTCTGGCGTTTGGCATACGGAGGTTCCTCCGAAACAGGTAACACGCTACAATAATGGAGAATTCAATTTCCTTATTTGCATGTTAGGAAACGTCAGTACTCATAGTGTTGTGTGCATAATGTTTGTGTTTGTTTAGTTGGAATCATCTGGACTTGGCGGTTGTCTTGGTTTCCGTCGCCAGCATTGTTTTCATTGGGATAGAAATGGCCGACTGGATTCCCATTAATCCCAGCATCCTGAGAGTCTGTAGAGTTCTCAGGCTAGCAAAAGGTACACACACACACACACACACACACACACACACACACACACACACACACACACAATCTCAGACACACACTTGAAAAAGGGAAACGTTTCTTAAGGATAGCTTTTGGTGCGAAAATGTCTAATTAAGTGTATGTGTTTTGCATGCACATACACAAAGTCATTCCCAACATCTCCTGTGTCTCTCCTCAGTGCTGAAGCACAAGAAAATAAGAGTCCTCCTGAAAACAATTATCAAGACGCTGTCACAGGTAAAAACTTGATTTTGTTTCTGCTACATTCATTATAGATGCAAAGTGAGAAATAATCATTTTAATTTCCATAGGGATGTTCCTGCTGTGCTAGAGTTGATAAATATTTGAATGTTTAAAGTATGCAGATTGTGATCCTGATGTATCTCTGTTTGCAATCTGTTTGGACCCTAGAGAGCCTATAACGCTAGTCAGTTTTATTATTGAATTTGCAAACCAATAAAGATCTTATTGTATTGCTTTTACAGTAGTCGTAGATCTCTGGTCATTTAAAAGTTCTCTATAATTTTACAGATGTCTCTGTAAATGGAGCAGAACATAAAATGCTACTAAAAAAAGGTGCCATGCCTAAAAAACATTGGTAATCAGAAATAAAGGCCTGTAATTTCTTCTAGCTAAGGCACATAAGGTCCTGGGGCCCCATTAATAAACGGTGCGTACGCACAAAAGATGGCATACGCCAGTTTCTACGCACTGTTTGCGATTTATAAAAAACGAAACTCTGACCCATGCGTACGCACTAAGCACAAAAACGGGAGAGACGAGAAACTGCGACACCGTTGGCAGAAGGAAGAATGGAGAGAAATATGTGGAAATAATACCATAAATAGAATGTTACCTCTCATTTATCAAATATGAAGAATTCATTTGTAAACATTGATTAAACCCAATCTTAAAATGATTAAACAAACGCCTGTTTGAGACTCCTCAGTGCACACAAAAACATAACTTGGAGAAATAAATAAATACGGAAATGGTATTGATCACCCCTCGATTATGTTTTCTTGTTAAGAAATGTATTCTCATAAATGATGCGGTAAACAGAAGGATAGAATTACTTTAAACTGACGCCGTTTTACATTTCTATAGGTTGTATAGATACGAGCATGGTTTGATATATTATCATGTTTAATCATGTTTTATGCCGTTCGCCAATAGCCTACTTGATAAGTCGCTCGTAAAACACAGGAGGTATGGAAACTAAGAACACCATATGTGTTTCTCAATTGCGAGTACGCTTGCTTGGTAGCACATGTCTGCCGAGCATCTTGCTTCAGAAGCGAGTCAAGAATACTTCCTGACATTTGGAAAACAAAGAGTGGAACAGGCTAGCAAGTGTGCAGGTGTGCGTCATATGATAGGCCCCGCCTTACATTTTCCGCTACAGATTTTGGAAATTGGTCCGTGCGCAAAGCATTGTGGGGATTTTAAGACCGCGGAGTCTACTCATGTGCAGCCTCGATATTTCTCCAAACGGAGTACGCCGGGCTCGGTAGATTTCCAAGTATACTGGAGATTGGAACAGTACTTCGGCGGCACTCGATGACGTAGTATGCTTGAAATAGTGGCTCTGCAGCAGCTTTACTTGCGATTGAGAAACACCCAATGTGTGGTAAATTGTACAGCTAATATAACACAACACATTAGTTGGTGGATTATGGATATATAGTTGCTGATCGACAGCTGCAAACAAACCACCAAATACAAAAAAATTATTCAGATCCAGTCGTCATGACTCCACTCCGGAGGGATTCCCCGATCATTTCTTACAGTTTCTCATCAAGGGGGTGTCTCCTGTCCCCGATACAAACACACTGGCCGTTTCTCAATCGCGAGGATATTGGCTTCCAAGCCAATATTTCAAGGATGCTACGTCATCAAGTGGCGCAGCAGGACCGTTCCAATGTCCAGCATACTTGGAATTCCACCGAGGCCGCGTCCTTGGTTTGTGGGAAATTTCGAGGCTGCACATGGGTAGACTTCGCGTCCTTAAAAACCCCACAATGCTTTGCGCACGGACCAATTTCCCCAAATCTGTGGCGGAAAATGTAAGGCGGGGCCTCTAATATGACGCACACCTGCACACTTGCTAGCCTGTTCCACTCTTCGTTTTCCGAATGCCAGGAAGGATTCTTGCCTAGCTTCTGAAGGAAGTGACTCGGAAGACATGTGCTACCAAGCAAGCGTACTTGCGATTGAGAAACACCCACTGCCTGAGGAAGGTTAGGCTATGTGTATTGTTTTTGTCATTAACCTTTTTCAGACCACTTATTTATTTATTTTGGTGACGATCCGACCTCCATGCTGCTACTCTGGTTCAAACTGCATCCACCAAACAATATGATTTATCTCGACCTCCCCAAAATAACCAAAATCTGACACGGTGTGAGATGTCTTTTTTAGCTGTTCTGTCGTCATTTCCTGCGATCTTCTTCATGCAGTCAGTCAAAATGAATGAATGAATGGGCGTTTCTTTGACTATTTATAGGCAAATATGGGCGTTACGTGAAGCCCGCAAAAGCTGCGCCGCATTTCGAGTTGATTGTGATTTATAAAGGGAAACCGGCGTAGGATGTGCCGTACGCAAGTCCTGTGCAGTCTTTTATGAATCGGAAAGTGTCGGGGCGTATTTATTTGCTTTGTCCTACATAAGTAACCTTCCCACGTCAATCCTACGCAAGGCTTTATAAATGAGGCCCCAGGGGCAGATTGTAGTGTTTGTTGTGTGGGAGATCTAACATGCATTTTCATTTTTTTTAGGTTGGGAGCATTTGTCTTCTGTTCGCTTTTTTTTTCTTTATATACGCTGCGCTGGGAGTGGAGCTCTTCGGCAACCTAGGTCAGTCACACTACTAGCAGAATACACACATTTTCTTGATAATCTTTTTTTTTTGTGGATGAATAGACTTGATTTTTGTTTGAAAACTGTATCTGTATGTTTGAATTGTGTGCTGCTGTTTCCATCAGAATGTACCGAAGAGAATCCCTGCCTTGGCTTACATCGGCATGCTAACTTTAAGCATTTTGGCATGGCCCTGCTCACGCTGTACCAAGTGTGCACCGGAGACAACTGGAGCGGGATAATGAAGGTAGGTCACTGCTGAGAGAACAGTCTGTGAGTCAGTCCATCAGCCTTTCTGAATCCTGCCCTTTGTTTCTCAAGGACACTTTGAGGGAGTGTCATCCCACAGACATCGATTGTGTGACCTACCTCTCCCGGGTCTCCCCCATGTTCTTCTCCTCCTTCGTGGTCATGGCCCAGTTTGTACTGGTCAACCTGGTGGTGGCAGCCATAATGCAGGCTCTGGAGGACAGCAACGAGGTACAGTTGCTACAACAATCACAGACCAAGAAAGCACAGAAACACATAGCCAGTGGGTGTTTCTCAATCTCGAGTAAAGCTGCTCCAGAGCCACTATTTCAAGCATACTACGTCATCAAGTGCCGCCGAAGTACTGTTCCAATCTCCAGCATACTTGGAAATCTACCGAGCCCGGCGTACTTAGTTTGGAGAAATTTCGAGGCTGCACATGTGTAGACTCCGCAGTCTTAAAATCCCCACAATGCTTTGCGCACGGACCAATTTCCCCAAATCTGTGGCGGAAAATGTAAGACGGGGCCTCTCATATGACGCACACCTGCACACTTGCTCGCCTGTTCCACTCTTCGTTTTCCGAATGCCAGGAAGTATTCTTGCCTCGCTTCTGAAGCAAGTGATTCGGAAGACATGTGCTACCAAGCAAGCGTACTCGACATTGAGAAACACCCTGGATTTATAAACAACAGCTGTAAATCTTTATTTAACAGGTTTTTAATTTCTTATAATTTATAATAAAATAATCCTATTAAGTTTCTTTTTTCTTTTTTTTGTAATTCTTTATTTATTTGGGGTCACATTATATTAAAAGTACAGTTTTGCAAATCATATATTTTTAGAGACCCGAAAATGATAAATTAAATACCGAACAAAATTAGTAAAATAAAATAAAAACGAAAAAATACACAGGGGTTGTTTGAATTGACAAATATCTACACATGTACATTAAGTTTCATGGAAAGAGCAATATAACAGCTACTGATTATTTGGCATTTAAATCTTAGTTTGAAAGCTAAAAATACTATTAGATCATACAAAAAAATATTAATAATTATAAGACAAATCAACTTTTATGTCTTACTTTAAGATTTAAATTCCAAAGTAACAGAGGAATATTTTAATATTTCAGAGCAATCCCACTAATTTCTGTCTCCCCCTGGAGAAGGAGAAGGAGGAGGAGGAGGAGGATCCGTCGGACAATGCAGGCGCGCGTCTCCGGGGCAGTGTTGGTGTTTTAAGTAATGAGTGAATATTTGTAAATGTGATTACTTGAAGTTTGATTCTTTGTTTTTTTACCTTTTTTTCATAACATGAATAAATAGAACAGACTTGATTTACACATGGATCACTTTTTACTTTTCTATTCATTCATTTCTTGTTTTGGTTGTTATATAAAAATACTTAGATCCAGTATGAAGAATCAATATGATAAATGTGAAACACCTCGACAAAGTCCCTTGGCCATTATGACAATACGACAGCAATTGGATGGAAAAAAAACACACGAGGCAGTCCTGAACACATAAATACTTAAATTATTAAGAGCAAAGTCTGCTTCTTTAAAGGGTAAGGAGATGTCAGAGGGTGGTATGGGAACATGTAACAAAAACAGAGCATGAAACATGGAGGCTTTTAGATTTTCAGCATCTCAAGTTTTGACCTCTTTACAGGGAGAAAGGCTATTGCAAATGAACGTGTAGTTTTTGAATGTATATTTTCCTGTTCCAAAAGAGTAAGCATACAACAGGATATTACAGGAAGACAAAGAAAAGTCAATATCACCTTTTCTCCTTTATTTAATTGATTTCAGGGTACACAACATAAGGTCATTTGCTCAAACCATAGCTTGGCTTCCATAGTTAATCCTAGTAAGGCCAGTCACAAAAATATACTATAATGACACAACATATTTGCAGGCAGAAAAATGTGTATGAAAGGTAACTGTTTTTCAGACCATAAATAACAATGACATTGTATTAAAAACCACACCATTGAACACATTTTATGAAAATAAATGGTAGAAATCAAGATCCTCATCCATCTTCGTATGGGGACATGATAACATCTGCAGTGAAGAAGGTTTTTTCTCTTGAAATGTAGGTTTTTGTTTACCACAGAGGGGGTCTGCTCAGCAACCCCTTCCAGCTGTGAGAGTCTGCAACCTGCAACAAAACAGGGAAGTGTGTGCAAACACAAAACAGAAAAATGTGCAGTAAGAAACACATCGTATGCAAAAACAACGGAGAGACTTAAATGATATTTTGAAACCTTTGTGTATGTTTCTGAGATGTTTGCAGCTAAATGAAAAATGACAATAAGATGAAGTATTTATTTGTGTTTGATCAGAATGACTTGCCTGCATTCTCTTATGAAGAAACCTCAACTTCTGGTTGAGACATTCAATCTCCTGAGGAAAGACAGAGGCCATGGTCACGTGGATGTAGGGATAACTCTTAACAGTATAATCATAAAACAAACTATCCCTGTTATATTGTCATATTTTCACAATATTATCAAATAATTGTTCATGACTAAATGGTCAGGGTTACGCTCATAGGCATGGCTGTGGTTAACATTGCGTTCCCTCTTAAAACCAGAGGAAAATACCTGGCTTAGTTTTTCGTCGCGTCTGAGTTTGATCTCAGGCAGAAGCTCTTCCAGTCTCTGAATCTACAATAAAACATGGAAACTTAATTCATGTTGTGCTTTAAAATTCAGACAAAATTAAAATTGCATGAAGAAACAGTCAATTCCCACATAATAATATATTTACAGTAAAACAGGTAAACAGACTTTACCAAACACTATGTATTTTAGTATAGTTCTCAGCTGTGTTTTCCTGCACTTAATAATCTCCTCATTGACACATAAAACATAATGAAGGCTATTTCAAAGGAAACACAAGAAAGCAATGTTATGTTAGAGCAGCCCTGCTGATTAAACCATGAATTATCTGCGATAACCAAACCTCAGTTATAGTAATATGACTGTGTCTGTCTTACCCTCCTGTCAATAGTCTGTAGCCTGGTCTTCATGCTCTTGTTCATCACGGTCATGGGAATGGTTCTGGGTGCCGGACGCACTGGGAACAGAAACATCACAACCTGTCCAGATCTGGATCCACAGCTTAAGAAAACATTATCAAAGGGAACAAAACGTGACTCCACTCTTACCATGCTGAAAGATCTTGGATACTTCAAGCACATAAGGCCTGTTGTAAAAAAAAAACACATGTCACCAGATGATATCAATAAGTGCTTGCACTGAAAAGACCGACTACAGTCAAAGACTCCTTACACATGCTTGCTGTTAGCAGGGATCGAGCTGTTCAGAGGGATCAGACAGCCACCGTGATTCCTTATCTGCAACCATAGCAAAGTTAAATTAATCTTTCAACCATTTCAGCAACAACCAAACGCTTGTTTTCAAATCAGTATTTTTCAGTATTCAGTTTTGTTTTCACCTTGTGTGTCTGTGTTTGCAAGTTTGTCATTGTGGCTAAATGTGCTGGAGGCCATTGGCTCTCCCACGGTTTGTCGTTGTGGCATCACTACTTATTTTTCTTTTCAACAATATCATGCAGACATATAAATATCATTCAGACAAAAATAGGACTCCATCTCTCACATGAGGACAACATAGTTGTTTTACCTTGAATATGACATCAGAAGAGTTCAGCCTAAAGGTAGTGGTGAGAATCTGAAAAAAAAAATATATCAAAAGTGTAATATCAAACTATACAACATCCAAAAATAAAACCACCAGAGCATTTCAGTTATTTAGGTATTTTCATAAATGATCTCTAGTAATATTGTAATGTTTATATATTTATATCTGATAGGTGAGCAAGAACATATTTGCAGGTGCGATTATAATGTGAAAGAAGGAGGTTGAAATGCAGACCTGTATGACCGTGGGGACCTCAGCTGCTGGAGGAATGGACACTTCTCGAAGAGCCACCACTCTGTCATCTGCAACAGATACAACATTAGATACTGTCTCTCTCTCTAAAGGCTTTATTAATGAAGAATATGTTTTCTAATTCTGTATAGTTTAGTGATAAGCTGTTTATCTATGCCCACTTATATAATTTGGTTTTCTTTATAAACATACAAACAAGATGTCTTGAAATAACAACTATTGTAAGCCGATCACGATCCAGTGCAACGTACACAAGTGTGATATTGACCCTTAAAACCTCTAATAATGTTTTTTTTGTTTACTTTATAAGCATATTTAAATGATGTGTTAACCAAAAGAGCACTATTGCAACTACAAACACACACAAATACCCGGAATCATTTAGTTTAGTTTAACATTACTCCCATATTCACAGGATATAGGATTTGTATTCACTCTTTGAATAACTAAATCAGAGATCTGGGCCGCAGCCAATCACTCAACAGTCAGATACAGCTGTTGTTGTTTTCCTCTTTGACCATTTATAGAAGTAGGTTTTAAAACAACTGACATTTGTAGAAGTTAAAGAAAACAACTTTCGAAAGGATGAATGACATTAGTATGCTGGATGTATATCATTTCCATGAGCCCAAATGTAGTCTTGAATGGGTTAAGGAAGCTGGTTGCCATGGACACAGACGCACACACAGAGTCCATCTTTAGCTCAAAAAATAATATATCGCTGATCGCAAAGTAAAAACAAAAACAGAAGGCTACGAACCTTTATTGTCCAGCCGTTTCACAGTGAACCAGACCTTTGATACTCGTGGTGATTTATCAAAACTGACGTGAGACATTTTGAGAACAGCAGCACGAGACATGAGAAGAAGCCTTAAATTCCTACGACATCCGGTCAGGGACTTTCAAAATAAGACCCTGGCCGACATAAATCCATCGATTCTGCACTGTTGCAATTTGTTTTTGTCAATTATTTAAGACAAACGTAATGTTTTTGGTCTGTTTTAAGTGAACAAATTGAACAAGGGCTCTCGGGGATTGACCTTTAAAAAGAAATGGGCTATGATATTCGAAGATAGCAGCAGCATGAATTGTATTTTTTGCACCACACGTATTGAAGAAAACACTTTATTACACTTAACCAATTAATGATGTATTGTTTCAAAAACAGTATATCTCAATGCAAATGTACTTGTCAAATATAGTGGAGTAATAGAATATAACACTATTTACCTCTGAATTGTAGTGGGGTGGAAGTACAAAGTAGCAAACAATTTAAATACTCAAGTAGACTACTAGTATCTCACCAGTACGCATGTGGCAAACGAGACAACACGCGCCCGCGCCCGTGCCCCTGAATGACGTCATCGCGGCAAAACGTCTGTGAAAGCGTGCGCGCCGCCCCGAGAGGAAGAGCCACACGCGTGATGTTTGGGACATAATGGTGGATAGGTAGGGACGATACGAGTTGTTTATCAGCTGTTGCCATATTTTCCAGTTGTTTTCTTGGACCCATCGGCTCGAGACCCGCCCGCTGCCACTTCCCGCTCGAACAGAACGACGCTCAGGACTGCATCAAAATGCCAAACATCAAAATATTTAGCGGTAGCTCACATCCAGACCTATCTCAGAAAATAGCAGACCGCCTGGGTCTGGAGCTGGGGAAGGTTGTTACCAAGAAATTTAGCAACCAAGAAACATGGTGAGTTGTTTTTTTGTCTTTTAAAAACAAGCCTAGAACCAGAGGTATACCTGATACGCAAATGTCGTAGCCCAGCGACATTTAACGTTATTAAATAGAAACGTGGTGTCATGGTGAAATTGCCGCGCAGTGTTGTTAGGAACTTGTAGTCCACCACGCATGGCTAGGAACTCATGCTAACTCACAAGCTGTCTGGTGGTTCTTCTGGGCCACAAAGCCATCGTACTGGCCTCAAAACTGAAATAATAATGTCCTATCACAATGATAATATTTGGCTCATATATGCAGCTCAACTCCACGAAGTTAACCTCTATTAAGAAAAAAAAGCCAGTGTTTACTGTGTCATTTATCTCCTGCTTGACATGGTGTGTTAACTCCTTCGCACTAACTGCTGTTTGTTTTGTCACCTCTCTCCTGGCAGTGTGGAAATAGGGGAGAGCGTCCGTGGGGAAGATGTCTATATAGTGCAGAGTGGCTGTGGGGAGATCAATGACAATTTGATGGAGCTGCTGATCATGATCAACGCCTGCAAGATCGCCTCTGCCTCCAGGGTCACGGCTGTCATCCCCTGCTTTCCGTATGCCCGGCAAGACAAGAAGGACAAGGTGGGGGTGAGGGATATCTGTCTAATTACTTCAGTCATGCCATTTGCCATCCAGCATCATGACGAGAAGCCTGCAGCCCTGTCCATCAGTAACTGCTTGACAAGCCGTATTCCCTTTTTGTATTGGTTTGTTTTCCTTTTCTCGTTTTCCCTATGCTTTGCTGAATCAACTCCATCGCTTTTTGTTGTTTTCCTGTATCTATCCTGCTCATTGTCTGTTATATTGCAACATTTGAATGATATTTGCGTATATGGGATTGTTTTAACTACAACATCTAATCTGTTAAGAATTACTATGATGCAAGAAAAAAATTGATTTTGTCATACGTGTATTATATTGCAATCTAGGTTTTATTCCTTCTATTTTATAGGCAAAATTGCAGTTGGGCCAAACATTTATGTTGAACTTATGTTACTGATCCAAATGAAAGAGGAATGTCTGTTCAGCCATCCTATGTACATCCTAGTGATATTTGCATATTACCTATCAATGGTCAAACTATTTTTAAATTACTAATTTTAAGGTCTATAGTCGGCTCTCAGTGGAATTTTATTTTTAGAAGCGAGCCATGCTTGCCTGTTTGGTTATTTCATATGGCTGAGTAGATCAATTTGTGTTGCAGAGCCGTGCTCCTATCTCTGCCAAGCTGGTTGCCAACATGCTGTCGGTGTCAGGCGCTGACCATATCATCACTATGGACTTGCATGCCTCACAGATACAGGTGAGCAGCACAAAAGCAAGACCTAAACAGCAGTATCATGAGTATCCTGCCATTAATCTGTCATATGGCTTCAAATGACCTACATTAGAAACGTGACTTTCACAGTCTTGACTTCACATAGATGTCAACAGAGATCAAAGGGAGATATGAGCCTTTTATCGGTCCTTCCAGCACATGTTCAGCTCCTGTGAACCCAGCTCATGTACCTCTCTTGTCTTTTTACAGGGGTTCTTTGATATTCCTGTGGATAACTTGTATGCAGAGCCAGCCGTGCTGAAATGGATCAAGGAGAACATCCCTGAATGGAAAAACTGTACTATTGTGTCACCTGACGCCGGAGGAGCCAAGAGGTAGTTGTTGTACCCTTGAGCATCTCCTCTGAAATGTATTTTAGATTAAGCTTTTGTATGCTTTGCTTATCACTGACAAGGCTCTGAATTGACTGCGTTATACACTTTGGCACTTACACTTTTGGACATTATACTTGCAGGGTCACCTCAATAGCAGACAGACTGAATGTGGATTTTGCCCTTATTCACAAGGAGAGGAAAAAGGCAAATGAGGTGGACCGCATGGTTCTCGTTGGAGACGTGACGGATCGGGTCGCCATTCTAGTAGATGACATGGCCGACACGTGTGGCACCATCTGTCACGCTGCTGACAAGTAAGCCCCATACAAATAGTCTTGAAGACCGGCATTGGGATGCTGCGATTCTGTCCTGATGTCAAACTAACTTGGAAACAGATCATGACTGGATTCAATTCAGAGATCTCTATTCAGAATATATCCATGTCATGTGGAGTTTTGTCATTCATTATGCTGTTTCTATCCCTTAGGCTCATTTCGGCTGGTGCCACCAAGGTGTATGCCATCCTAACCCATGGCATCTTCTCCGGCCCAGCTATCTCACGCATCAACAATGCATGCTTTGAAGCTGTGGTGGTCACCAATACAATCCCTCAGGAAGAGAAGATGAAGCATTGTCCCAAAATACAGGTCAGGATACAGCATGTACCAGGGTTTGAGTAAAGGTTGCATTTTGAATCTGAAAAAGAAGCAATATCCCGAGCCAAAAGGATGTAACGAAAAATAATTATATCAAATGTAGCCGTATTTAAAGTAATATTATTCAGAGGCGCAACTCCTCTGTTTGAGCAATGATATTTTGAAATTGTAACTTAGTTCATACATTTTTTTTTTTGCCATTATACAAATCATCCAGTCTAGCTATATTCACAACCTCTTCTCCTCTCTCCCTCCAGGTTATTGACATCTCCATGATTCTAGCAGAGTCCATCCGTAGAACTCACAACGGCGAGTCTGTGTCGTACCTGTTCAGCCACGTCCCCTTGTAACAAATGATGGCTCCCATCTAACTGTGTTGTTCCACCAAATAAGAGAAGAGGGAATTCCCTAACCCAAACATAGCAACATTTTCTGCTAACTTACCTTGAAAGAAAACTGATATCATGTCTGTTACTAACGCTGACCCCGTCACCTCCTTGAGCTGTTTAAATTCATGTCTGGCACCAAAGCAATCGCAAGCAGCTAGGCCAGCCTATTTATTGTACTTGGATGATTAAGTGTTTATCCACTGTGAACTTTGTCCCCTCTTTCATACAACTGAGGAACAGAGTTTCTTCTGACCAATTCACTTCTCCAAAAGTCATTTCAATCTAGTCTAAAGAGCTTGTGGTTGTCAGGAGAAGCATCTGCCATATAAAACTGTTACAGTGCTTTCTGTTACAATGACTGAGTGTAGTTTTTAATGTTGCTCCTGTGTCCTCTGCCGTTTGGACGATGATAATTCATGAAGTGAATGTGTAGTGAAGTAGTTTACAGTGCCGCTGAAGCTCCACTCAACCAAGAGTGCCTCAACAGTCTGAAATTGAATGCATTTTTCCTCCAGTCTTCTCCTTTCCCCACCCTTTTTTAGCTGTGCTTATTTTTCTCCCCCAACGACTAATTTTTACACATCTCATCAGGCTGTAAAGATGTTCTGGGATGTTTGTTTTTGACTCTTGAGGTGCACTCCATTGAGTGGGGTTTGTCCAGGGTTTACCTGTCGAGGTTCGGCGTTGAAGGTCTTTCTATAAAGAAGCTCTCTGGTTTTTAGTTTAGGGTCTCTGCAGGCTGGAGCTCAGAAATGTTCACCTGCTTTTATTTTTTTTATGTCTGGAGGAAGGATTTGTCGATGTGCATATTCAAAACCTTAGGGTTTACTTTTTCAATAAGGTGAATTCTTGGTTGGCATCTAAGGATGAGTTCTTAATAAAAATGATTTGTAACCTTAAATGTGGCACTATTTCTGATAACAATATGTCATACATAAATGCATATTCCCTTGTATAATTGCTAATAAAACTTATATGCAACCAGGATCATACAGGGCAATAACTGTTTATTTAACAGACAATTCACAATACATTTTTGCAGGGGCTAAAAGCTAATATCAATCTGTCTGAGAATCAATGACATTTGTATTTGAATAACGGGTAACTTGGAGAAGGCTTCTAAACAGCATTCATTTGATAGCAATAACATTTAAAATGGAAAGGTATTGTATGTATAAAATAAGACGGTAGGATTTTTTCATTGAGAACACGCCCTAGTACGGTAGAAGACAACAAGTTGATCGACAGACGAAACAACCAATCAGCCGCCGCGCAACGTATACCGTCTTGGCCAATGGTATTAAGAGGCGGGCCCTCGCATACATCGGTAGATGCTCAGTGCGCGCCTGTTTGATACTGTCATACATTGACCTGATTGGCGGATGCTTCACAGTTTTCTCTGGATTAAGGTCAACACATGTAGAAAAGGTGTTGCCATTTTAACTTCATTAATAACGAGAGATAAGCTCCATCCAAGTGCAGTCCAAGGAAACAAAGACGCCTTTTCTTCTCCATCACTGAACAGAGGGAAATGTAAATAGGAACTACGCTATATAATCTTTATCGTTTTGCTTTTTCTCTGTTTACTAACGGCTTGCTGGGTAAGTACATTTCATCTCTGATATAATTTCTTTATATTTAATTTATTAATAATAATACATTTTATTTTAGGCGCCTTTCATGACACCCAAGGACACCGTACAATTTGTTAAAAAAGAAAGAAAACGCTAATAGGCAACAAAACATGATAAAAACGCAAACAGGAAATCATGGAGGAGACAGTCAAGTGGACACAAATGAAACATATAATGGGGAGCACTACAGTGAGTATAGGCAGATTTGAACAGATGGGTTTTTAATTGGGATTTGAATATGGTGCTTGTGTCTGACTGTCGGATGTGCGGGGGGAGGGAGTTCCAGAGTCTGGGAGCAGTGCAGCTAAAAGCCCGAGCACCCATGGTGACGAGGCGTGGGGTGGGGACGGTTAGCAGACCAGCAGAGGAGGAGCGAGAGGGGGTGTACTCCTGAAGAAGGTCAGCCAGATAGGGGGGGGGCAGGTTATGTAGGGCTTTGTAAGTGAGCAGTAGGTTTTTGAAGTTGATTTATTATGTAGGTGTATTTATTCTGCAGTGGAGTTCCAACCTATATGGTAACCTATGTTTTCTGTTTCAGTTTTGGTTTCAGTCTACATATTTCCTGTATTTTTTCATTTTTATATATTTATATAAACATGTTAATATTTGCTGATTACTGACAGTTTACTGTGTAAATAAATTCATTTATGATATTTTATTTGTGTGTAACATATTTCTCTGTGGTTTCCTGCTCTAGTTCCTGTTTCATCCTCGGTTGTCAGCATCAGTCCAGCTATCCTGCATGCATTGATGCGACACTGAAGTGATTTGTGGTCAATTTGTACTCAGCTCAGGAATGGCAGGAAGCCTTAAACCTAAACAAGATGAAGAGGGCTGCCAGGATCAGATGGTGCGTTCCAACACCTTCTTTCATGGGGGGACCTCAAGTTTACTCTCCACCCTCATCACATTTCCTGTCTACAAAACGGTTTTCCGTCAACAAATCCACAACGCTGGTGTTTCTGAGGTAGTGAGGCAGCTTTACAGTGAGGGACATGTAAAGCTCTACAGGGGCGTGGTCTCACCACTTCTGATGAAGACCCTGGGTAATACTCTGCTCTTTGGCCTCCAGGACACCATCCTCCATCAGCTCACCCCATCATCCCAGAATCTCATCTCCCCCTCAGCCCTGCCTGCTCTGGCTGGGTTTGGTGCAGGCATGGTAGAAGCTGTTGTTTGTACCCCCCTTGAGCGTGTCCAGAGTGTGTTGCAAAATGGTAAAAACGACCGCAATTTACCCACCCACAAAAGTATTCTTGTCAGGCTGAACGCACAGAAGCGGTCCTCAGGGTACTACAGAGGCCTTCTGCCCATCACAGCCCGCAATGCTCTTGGCAGCTTTATCTACTTTGGCCTGAAGAAACCGTTAAAGGCTGCCGTGGAGGGGCGGGGGCTGTCTCCAGTGGTTTCCTCCTTCATCTCAGGGATGCTGAGCTCCATGGTTATCAGCTTGCCTCTCTATCCACTGACTGTGCTGGCTGCAAACATGCAGAAACAGGTGGGAGGGGAGGATAAAGGGGTCATGGCTTCATGGAAGAAGCTGTGGGAATCGCGGCAGCGGAGTGTGGCTCTGCTGTACAGAGGAGGTTCTCTGGTTGTTTTGAGATCATGCATTTCATGGGGAATCACCACTGCTATCTATGACATGCAGCAGAAATATTCAGGCTGAAGGGCAGTTCAAACCCTACTTTCATGAGGTGCTGTAATCATTGTCTTTTCACTGTAGACATTTTGGCCTGTCATAGTAGAAAAAGCATATTGATTTTAACATTATTGGTTGTGATCAATTCATGTGTCACCCTAAACGGTGCCATGTATCTTACATGAAAAGACCCTGAAGCTGATCTAAAAGGAATTCATTTTTATTATTTACACCTCTGCTTTTCCTTCTGCGACATGTCAAAAAGGTTTTGGTGGAAAAATTCAATGGAAATTGCAGGTTTAGCCATGATGCATTAACTAGTTCAAATCAACACATACTGCCAATCTTTGTCTGTCAGAATGCCAAAGCCAGGGGAAATCACCACTGTCAGGACTTGAACCAAGGTCTCTATAGTGGTTGCTGAATATTAATCATCAACCAAAGTTGAATACAATAATAATATACTTCTATATTGTGGGCATGGAGAGGGTTGCAACAGTTTGAATGATTTTCACATTTTGATAACCATCTCAGAAAATATCCCAATTTTACAGTACGGTTTAGAATTATAATAATAAACTTGAAAACAAAATAAAAATAATAATAAATTGCATTTAACTTTAACATGTCATGTAACTAAAGCGTGTTAAATGACATGGTAGCAGCACTATATTATCTCCGTCTTTTTTCATCAATACTGTAGAACAGCAAATGATAAATGTCAACCGTCATTCAGGTAAACCTTGAAACAGGTACCGCTCCAATCTTACTCGTGAATCCCAGGTGCCTTGTATTTTTTATGTCTTGTAGGGACATTTCATCAACTAACCTCCTCAAAGTTAGTTTACTCATCAGGGGAAGTGCAGCTCAGGCTATGAAAAAAGTGTTTTTATTGTCCTCTAGGCCTCTTGAGGAACAATTATTTTTACCTAATAGTAGCTTGTATATACAGTTTATAGCAGTAACCCACATTATGAATTTGGGTGTGGATTTTGTAAAATGTGGATTCCAGCAAGGCAGGATCTAAAGAAAATTGGCTTCAGTATGAAAAAGTAGCATTCCTAACTTTAGGGCTGGACCCAAAAGGAAGTGAAGGTCAGAATATTGACCCCTGTTGCCTTGAACTCGTCTTTTAAAGTGCTTAATCATTTGACCATTAACTGCATAAAGGGAGATCAAAACATTTGTATTGTGTAAAGTCAAAAGATTTTAGAATGTTATGTATGATAAAGATGATACATGTGAGTTGAAGCACAGGAACAAATAAGACAAAGTTGTACAACACTGTTGCCTCTCAGCAAGAAGATACTGAGCTATAATGCCGTTGGTGCTGTCCTGTGTGGAGTATGCATGTTCTCCCCTTGTCTGCATAAAGGATACATAGACATGCAGGTTACATTAGTCAGAAACTAAATATAAATATGTTATCATGTGTTGTCTTTGCTTAAAATAATCTTGATGTATCCCCGGGTGAAATCTAGCAGATTAAATAGCTGCAACATTAAAGTGAGGAACTCTCAGAATTATAATCCATTATACAATATACATTAAGAAATGGGTTATACTGCTCATACTTTTACCAGAGTACATTTTGAATGCAGGACTTTTACTTGTAAAACGTTTCTACTTTGTGGTATTACTATTCTTTGAGTATACCTGAGTACTGTGTGTACACCTCTGAACCTGCGCCTTTACTTTCTTCTAATTTACCAGAACAACCTCATATTATATTTTTTCAGAATACAAGCTGTTTCATCAAAGTGCATTAAAAAAATCAATTTTATTGGCCAAATAGTTTTGTGTTTTCTGTGATGTAGCCTACATCTTACTAGCGTCCTATTGAAAATGACTTTTGTCAAACCATGTTATGCCTCAACCAGTCCAGTAGATGGTATGTGTGTGTTAAAAATGAAAAAGCATCCAGATCCATGACAATGGGAGCCCAGTGTTCGTGCATTCTTCCACCCAGGTACGGGGCGGAGGAACAAATGATTGAACAGATAACAGCATTCCTTGGCAAGAACAGGCAGCAGCCTGTCATATTTCAGGGAAGTCAAGCAGCAAGCGTGTCCAATCAAATTTCTTCCTGCTTTGGGAGCCAATCAGAGCCAGCATATCGGTGTCCATGTTGGCGTACAGAAGGGTGTGTTGACTACTTAAACCGTTGTCTTTTCCCAAATTACGCAGAAGCATTTTACCCGTAAAGAATCTACGCACATCTGCACCAGGTAAAGTTTTTCGGGAATGTTCTCTGTTTTTCAGCTCGACCGCTAAAAAAAGATACCTAACTATTGTTATGCAAAGATCATTTTTACAAGGAAATGCGTTTTAGGCTTCAGAGGCGTGTTGGAGTTTTTCTCCTGCGCCACAGACTTTTCATACAGTCAGTTTCCTGTTTATTTCCTCTGTTAACTGTGCTGTGTGTAGTCCACCTGGAAGCGCTGAATTCCTCAGCAGGCAGGCTGTTTTACTGCATGAGTTTGTTTGTTCTGCAGGTTATAAAGTGTGTTTCTTGCGACTGGCTCGCATTACTCCAGAGTTAAGCCAAGTTCTGTTTTTTTCTTAACTGAGGTGGGGCTTTCTTTGTAAACCCGCATGGGAATGCCCTGCAGACAAAATACATTTTGTGTGATTAAATGTCAAAGGGCTCATGTTTTGATGCTTTCTTCTGCGTTCTTTTAACAGTTTGATGCCTTTTTTGTTTTTTAGCACGTTTTGCTTTTGATCCTTATGTTAGCTCTTTCTCTCCCACTTCCTCCCATTAGACATCTTCCAAAATGAGCGCCAAATGTCCAATCAAGCAGGAAGTGGTGGACTTTAATAAGGGACAACTGAAGAGGACTGAAACTGCCGAAAAGAACCCTCTTCCAACGACGAAGGGTAGGTGTTCAAAACAAGTGTGCTCCCATTTTAAAAAATAAATAAAACTAATCATCCGCCCTTCACCAAGGTTTTCCACTGCCTATGGTCTGTGTTAGTCATACCTAAACTCCTCCCTGCCTATCTTTATCAAGGCAACGGCAAACATTGTATTACTGATAAACTGCATGTACACACCCAACCACCTGAGAGCTCTCCTTGTTCTGTTTAAGGCCAACCTGTTCAGTGGAAAAACATAACCCCACCCTCATCTGTGTATTATGACTTCTGTCTCTTTTGAAATGTTTATTATATGAAGCTTCATGCCAATGGCACTGGGGGTTGAAAAAGAAAATTGCAGCCACTTCATGCAAATAGTCCAAAAGAGGCCCAGATGTACTGTGCAGTAGAAAAGCCTGATTTTTAGATCTGGTGTGACCTGACTCAGCAGGAAGAGGGGAGTTTAAGTTAAAGTGTGGCAAAATGCTCATGTCGGCTTTACCCTGAGTCGTTAATGGCAATTTTTCGTGTAGAGCTATTTTATGTTGCTCTGAAATTATTGTGCTGGTGTTTAATATTGCTTTAGCACAATGTGGATCTTTTACTTTCCAGTATTAGCTTAGTTTCAAGCATTACATTGAGAATATGTTGCTTAAAATAGATATTGTAGACTTTTCCATGTAAATAGACTGAATTTTCTCAACTTAAGTTACAATTAAACTATGCTTGAGCCATAACATTTGACCATAACTATTTAAAAAAAAAAAAGTTGCATTCTTCACAGTTTTGAGTGAATCATATTATATAACTGTATTCATATATTTGTTTATTTCCCTGAGTCTTCAGACCTATAAGTTCATAGCTTCATGTTGCTGATGAGATCATAGGCATAAAATACATTTAAAAGGGGCCACTCCATACTTGGTTAAATTGTCTTGAGGATAACTGTACAGTATGCGAAAAACTATGCAAAATGTCTTCTGTGTGACTTTATGGAGCTGTGTAAAACTGGTTGAGGTGTGGGGGTTGAAAAGGCACTGACATTGTGCATGCATTCACCTCATAAAGATGCTTATAATTTGCATTATGGAGAATGTAATGAAATGTAAAGATATCTCTGCAGATTTTTTAAATAATTTGTTTGTCTATTGCAAAAGAGTCCCCCTTCAAATTCCCTAACATGTATATACAATTCAGAAAGAAACCAAGGGGGATAGCCTGACCATTGACAGGCAGTTCTGTATTCTTAATCGTAACGGAGCCAAACTCATGACTGGATCCATGTGTCGCCCCAGCTGCTTCACTGTCAAATCTCACCCACCATGCAGTCTTTGACACTGCTGCTTTAGATTACTGTTCTGTGGTGGTACATAAGACTTTTTATTTTATTTTTTTATAAATGAATGCTTCAGGATGATGTTTAAACGCAGTGCTACATCAGTTCTCTCTTTTGATCACACAGTAATTGATGATGAGAAGATCGCCATTGAAGAGGTAAGTTCCAGAAACGTACCTGCCGCAATCCTTCTCTTTCAGTCCTGCTCTGTTAGCTGCTCTTCTTCCATTTAGGAATCCTATCCTTCACCTCGGCCTCTGCTTGTACATTTCTCTGACACTCTAGTGCTTAAAGTAGATCCTGCGCAGAATACATGGTCTTCTTGCTTTGGTCTTTTATCTTCTGGAAAAAACCTTATGTCCTCAAACTTTTTTTCCCACTCGGCCACACCTTTCCTTCACTTTCATATCTTCCATGAGGTTTGATGGGGTATGGGATTGTAGTGCAGACTACATCTTGAATGATGAAATACAAATGGGATCATGTCTTCATTCTTTCATCTGCATTCTCTTATAATTTGTACAGGCCATGTCAATAATCAAGATCTGTGTTTTGATTTTTGCTCTCCCCCTTTTTTCCATTAGAAATGTGCCAAACTGCCACTCAATAAAGAGTTGGAAGGGTTTAAAAAGGACCACCTCAAGAAGGCGGAAATGAAAGAAAAAAACCCTCTTCCAACAACTGATGGTAAGGGGAAAGCGGTGTACTTCAATTCAGGCTTTAGCTTACACCCCTTATTCGACATAGTCCCTCCCTGCCATCATTATGAAGATAAGATAAGCCTTCATTGATTCCCCAGGTGGGAAACTCCAGTGTTGCAACAGCACAAAGATAGAAAATAGTCCATGTAAATGGAGAAGTAAAACAATAATAAAAAAAGAAGAGGAACGTAAGGTTATGTAAAGCAATAATAATAATAAATGTTGTTAGTTTCCTTTTTTTCAGGTCCATTACCAATTATTATTATTGAAGGAGACTGTTACCGGTCAGGTAAAATTTGCAGGAGCATCAACACTTAAAATAATACTAACTTCATCACTAGACTTTGTTTGAATGCCCATAAGAATATATTTAATTTAATGCTGAAAAATAAACTTTTTAAACATAATCTTTGAAAAAAGAAAACTCTATTGCTCTTACCATGCCCACACCTTCTTTTCAGAGTGTTGCTCTGTATTTGCTTTGGTTTATGAGTAGGTGTGTAAACTACACTGCAGACTGGATCACACCAGCCTCTAGCGACTAGTAATTATGAAAGGAGCAAAGGCTAAACACGTGTCAGTGTCACTTTCAGTTTGCAAACGTAGTCATTTGAACCCAAACCACAATAGTTTCCTACACCTAGTTATTTTGTTTGTTCAAAACATTACACCAGTGATACAAATAGATCATCGCATATATATGTCTCTGTCTCTCTTGTGATCACACAGTAATTGATGACGAGAAGATCGCCATCGAAGAGGTAACTTCCAGAAACGTACCTGCGTTGATTCCTCTCTTTCAGTCCTGCTCTGTTACCTGCACTTTCCTTTAGTTCTGTCCATCACCTGGGCCTTTGCTTGTGAATTTCTCTGACACTACCGCTATAAGTAGATTTGACAATGTATCTTCTGGAAAAACATTATGTCCCACTTGGACACACCTTTCCTTCACTTTCAATTTCACTTGTAATTTTTACACGGCATGCTAATATTCAAGATCTGTGTTTTGATTTTTGCTCTCTCACTCTCACACCCTCTTTTCCATTAGAAATGTGCCAAAGAACCACTCAATAAAGAGTTGGAAAGCTTTAAAAAGGACAACCTCAAGAAGGCGGAAATGAAAGAAAAAAACCCTCTTCCAACTACTGAGGGTAGGTTTTAAGCAATTTGAACCCAAACCACAATGTTTTCCTTAATGTAAAACAAGTAGTTCTGTTGCCTAGACTTTGGGTTGTTTGGTTTGTGTTCAAAAGATTACATCCCTGTTACATTGATCATCTTATTTATGTCTCTGTCTCTCTTGTGATCACACAGTAATTGATGCAGAGAAGGTCGCCATCGAAGAGGTAAGTTCCAGAACGTACCTGCTGTGATTCCTCTCTTTCAGTCCTGCTCTTTCTCTAATGACAAATCAAGTCAATCATCCCCGCCTCTATTTTCTGTGATCTAACACTGTATTGCTACAAGCTGACAATGTTTAGCTGCAGTTTGGTTTTTGGCCATTTTTCCTCATCTCTTTCTTAACCACAACACAAACGTAGCTTTCTGTTCAAGTAGGGCGTTCTAATCCCCATACACACTCTTGTGGAACTGAACACCTGTAAATAACAGTGTAACATGACACCGCAATAGAGCTGTTTGTTCATTGTGAGGGGGCTGCTACGTGTTGTGACCGGTTACATAACTCCAGAGTTCAGCCCAGTACTGTCTTTCTAAATGGAGGTGGGGCAGGACTTGTGTACCTGTATTGGACTGGAAAATCCTTTTGATGAAATGATAATGGGATTATGTGTTTATTCTTTGTTTAATGTTTTCTCTCTTTCTCACACACTTTTCTCCATTAGAAAACTGTCAAAGAGCCACTCAATGAGGAGGTGGGGTCATTTAACAAGCAACAGCTCAAGAAGACAACCACAAAAGAAAAAAACATACGTCCAACTGCAGCGGGTAGGTGTTTAAAAAGTGTCTCTCAGCACTGCCCAGTATTCTGGTTTCTTTAGCTCCTCCCAGCAAACAATTTTGAAAGGCAACAGCAGACATTCCTGCACTGATTAACTGCAGATACACACCCAATTTCCTGCTCTTTCTCAATCTGACGCCAGGCTCCTTCCGTATTGAAGAAGGTGACCCTGCTGGTGCATGTCGGCTTACTCTAAATCTTTAACTTCAATCCTTCTCAGGAGAGCTTTGCTCTTTGGCAGTGAAAGGAAGAACCTGTGCTCTTTATAAATGAGAAGTTCATTTGATTAGCAATGACTCATACCTTTGATCAATAAAAGTGGTGGTTTAAATATGGATATTTCTGAGACCGTTTACTGACTTAATGGCTCTGTTTTTCTTGAGCTACTGTTAAACTACATTTTGGCATTTTCCCTAATCCTGCAAATCCTTTATATTTTACACATGAAGTCATGAGGAGTATTATACAGACTATGAAACTGTTGTATAATGTATTTTGTGGCTCTGAAGGAGCTGTGCACACTTGAAGAATACCGATTTATCATGGATGGCCTATCGCTAACTGGGAGACTGGAGTTGAATAGACATGGCTTATTATCTAATAGAATCTGCCACTCGGTTGCATTGTGGGAAATGTGGGATCCTGTCTTTTTTTTATGCGGGCCCCATACTAAACTGTAAAATACTTTTAAAAAAGGGCCGTGGTAATTGCTCGAACTTTGATTTTGACTTCCGTGACTTCTTCAGGCCACACACCTATACAGTAGATTTGGTTGAATAAATCAGTGTTTTTTTTCATTTTATTTTTACTACAGGATGATATTGTTTAAACGGCATGTTATATCAGTCGAATCACCATGTCTGTCTTTCTTGTGATCACACAGAAGTTGAAGCGGAGAAGAAAGCCCTGAAAGGGGGGAAGTAACTGAACCGTGCCTGCCATGATTCCTCTTTCAGTCCTGCTCCGTTACCGACTCTTCTTCTGATAAAGAATACTGTCCAGCATCACGCCGCCTGCCTGTTTGAAGAAGTGTTTGGGCTGATGCATCGGAAAGGATGTTCCTGTACTCCTTGTAAATGAATGCAATAGATGTATTTTTGTGTTTTTTGTCTGTGCTGATTATATGGGGCATGGAAAAAGATAACAATTAAAAGGATTTTTTTTTTCAAAAACATGAATTGTATTAATGGAAATCCACCAAAAATATATTGCACCATAAGTATGACTGTAAATGTTGTCCTTCAGAAATGTTCTGAGAAATGACACTCAAACGTATAACACTTTCTTTTTTTTTTTATTAAATAAAAATGGATATGTTAACATTTGATTTTGTAATTATTTTGTCAAACAGTCTTTCTAAACCATCTTGCATTCGAAGCTCAGTTATCACAACAACTTTCCAATTTGTTATCTATAGACCTCGGGCATTGCCGCTTAAGAGTTTCGAAAGTAATCTGGATGGTTTATGTATTTTCAGCCTTAGGCTAGAAATTAGTAAATGCACCCCAAAATACATCTGAAAAGATAGATTTAATGCATTTCATGTATTTAACTACACATTTTTTTGTGTTTGAGTCATAAGATCTACTTAAAACACTCGTGTCCATTGTTATTGCACAATAAGTAACCAAAAAGTAGGAAGATGGGTGAAATTGTTCACCAGCTGTGTGTGTTTATCCGTCATACGCGAAAGCTAGCATAATGTTAATGGTAACAAAAAATGATACTGCTGGACACACCTTAGGGGAAAAGGGGCTTGCATCCAAGCCTGTTGAAATGTCCAAGATTTTTGAATAATAAAACTGATCCATGCTTGTGATCATTCAAATTCTATTTGACTTGGCTGCACATGAGATACATTCAGTTAATTTGAATTCAGTTGTGAATGGTTGAGTGAATAATAATCATATAAATTACAACAGGTCTAATCCTGCCAAAGAAAAAAAGTGGATCTGCTTCAGGTGTTACACATTCCACACTGCCTACATGGCTTACCTTGGAAATGTGAGTTTAAATTTAGTTGCCATATGCAATAATGTCACATATTTACCTCAAATGCATATAAAATACAGCCAAATATTCAAGTTAATATTGTATCTTTGCAGTATAAAAATGCTTTGGGAAGCTCAAGGATCAGTGGCTGAGCAGTTTTCTTTTCTCGTACTACGTATGGGGATTGCTTAAGATAATACAAGCTGTGTTTTTACACAACAGGCTTGTTCGAACATGCTGACACAACAGCATGCTGGCACTTGAAGCAAAGACATAGCATGTAATTGTCTTACATTGGAGTTAAGGCACCAAAATTACAGCTTGTGCACATTTCCCTTCTGTTGTAAGGAAGCCTGTCAAAGTTCATAACAAAATAATACTTCCCATGGGAATGATAGTTTTTATGAAATTGGAAAGTAATGGAATGCATGTTTTCTTTTCCGGATATCTTTGAGGCTCAGACGAGTCTGTGCACCATGACACAAACTAAACAAGGCAGCACAAGAAGACAAAGACCAAGTAAGGACACAGCTGAGGATGACACAGATTTAAGATCTGATTTAATGTATTTTTTAATCATTCTAAAGCCATGAAGTAAAATACTTTTTTCTTGTATGTGAGTTGACATTGTCTACCTAATGTAGAGCAAAAAGAAAAATGAAGACTATGTCATTAAACTACCCCTGCAAAACAACCAATATATCAACTACCGTGTGCATAACAGTTTTCATGTATGCATTTATAACACAATTTATTAGTTTATTTTCTTTAACAGTTTCACTGGCCTGCATTTCTGTATGCACAAATAAAGAAGTCCCACATTTTTAAGTAAGCTTTTTTTGTGGGATTCCTGCACCACAAAGTATATTGTCCTGCAGTGAACTTCTAGAATGATCATCGTCCTCCTATAGCTGATAGACATTTGAATATAAACGTGCAGAAACTCAGTAAGAGTTGCCCGTTGTGAGATACATGCTGTCCAGTCAAATGGAGTGCAGTAACATGTCAATAGTAGAAAAATGTACACATATGTAAACAGCGACACCCAATGGCCTCAATATAGATGACGCAAAGATGTTATCGCACTACCAAATCTCTCCAATAGGAGGCGCCAAATGACAGAGACAGCCCAGAGGGGGAGGGCCGAGGCTGCTGCAGGTCTGTTCACTAAAGTCCATCAACAAGCTAGTTAGCAGAGAGAGCGATACCATATCCGTGATGCTCAAGCAGAAAGAAAACATGGACTAGCCTAACTAAGAGATATATTCCGGTGTCTTGACAACCACTCTCTAACGTCGGCGGAGGATCAATCCAGGTGTGTGTAAATCTCTTCTTCATTCATGCGGTCGTTGCTGCAGCGGAGAGTCTGAGCTGCGAGTGGCGGGCAAGCTCAGTCATCAGCTCTGCAGGGACAACTAGGACAACACGGCTCACTCACCGGTACGGTTGTTTTCCTGTTAGCATGCTAGCTCAGCTAACATTACCTATAAACATGAACGACTAGATATAGTACAATGTACCTGCTGGAGATTCACTGCTTATTCTTCTTATGTTCTAGTCTAGTGGCTAGCTTGTTGCAAAGGTTATTGGAGTTGCATAGTTAGCCACGTAACGAGAAAAAAAGTGGTCGGCGTCATGTAAATACTGGTGATTATTAGCTGAAATTAGCTAACATGTAACGTCAGAAGTGGCGCATTGATACCAAAGCTACTTCATTGTATCCCAGACCAAAAGCTTTGCATGTGAATGTATGAGCTAGAGAATATATTTGTACTGCTTTCTTTAATTTACTGGACCATGTGCTGAGTTGTTGTTGTTTAGTTGGGAAGATGGTGCCCATTCAATAATGGTGTAGGCAGAAACATGTAGTACTATCAAGCTTGGGCTAATATTTTATACAGCCTATGATGTCGCCCTGTTGTTTATTGTCCTCGTGCAAAATGTAATGTTACTCTTCCTCCCCAATAGAGCAGGAGCATGGTGGTCCCGGACAGTGCCAGCGTGCTCCTCCAGGCCGACAATGGCAGTCCCACTGGCCTCATGGAGAGCTCCAAGACCGGGTGCGAGGAGGAAGAAGAGGGGGGTCAGGACCTGCCAGGGGAGGAGCTGGAGGAGGTCCGAAAGCTTCAGGAGCTTGTTCGCAGGTTGGAGGTCCAGAACGAGACCCTGCGCAACAGAGGGAGCAAATCTCTCAGCCACACAGCCTCTGTCAATATCAACGAGAGGCTGAATTGTGAACAAGTGAACAACTCTCACCTCAGATTGGAGCACTGTGGTGAGTTGGGCAGCTCAGACTTTGAGCTGTCTCCACCTCAGGACAGCAGCAGTGGTGAAGACATGTCCCCTCTGCCCATGGCCAACAGGCTGGAGGAAGACGATGAACAGGGTCCACCGGGGGGATTTCTCACCTTGACCTGCAGCAACGGAGCGGGACAGTGCCAGACGCCAGAGAGCCCCTCTCAGGAAAGCTATGACTCAGAGACACTTGCAGAGAACGACTCCGGGGTGGACCAAACTGCACTGGATGAAGTGGATGTCCTAGATTTGGAGGATGAGTGTGCGGAAGAAGACAACGAGGATAGTTGGTAGGTTTTAATATCCACACTTTGTCCTGATAATGCTTTGATAACCTTCTTTTAGCCCTCTTATTTGGGTTATCCAATATATATTTCTGTCAATACTAAACAGACCAGTCGAGGCATCTGAACATTTGCACATATGAGATAGATATCAAGTAAAATACATCATCATATGGGCCAGTAAATATGAGTTACCCTCAAGGGAATTTAATTTCTTGCAACCCAGGCAAGAGCAATGCTACATTTAAAGTTGCGTGTTACATTCGGCTGTGTATAAGTAGAGAGGAGCCCCTTTAGCCATATGAGTCACTGCTCTTTTTCATTTTAACCTCTAACTTAAAAGTGTGTTTCTCCCCCACAGGAAGTGACTATGCACTGTTCTGTAAGTTATTTGGATTCGAAATTAGACTACGTTTCTGACAAGACAGAAACTGCATTTTTTTCCTCATTTACAGGATCAATAATTATTTTCCTGTACTTTCAAAGCTTTGCTTAACTGTGACCACTAGCTCAGAATATTTACTGTGATTAGGAGGTCATGAGGAAGTGTTATGGTTGGAGAAGAGAGAGTAAGAGGGACACGGAAATAAGGAGGAGGCGGTAAAAAAATAAGCGTGAATATAGTCAAAATACAGAGGTGAGAGACAGTCTATTGTTTCGTTAACTTGACTCTGAGCTCCCTGACGGACCAAGGTGAACAACAGATGTGACCTATCTACAACCTTTTTGACAGGTTATAATGGAAAACATTTTTTTTTAAATACCAAGCATGAATGAAAACAATGCGGTCACAATAAGCGCTCCCTTAAGCTTTTTCAAGAAAAGAAGCTATTTGAAAATTGTAATAATAATAGTTGTTATTATTGTTGATAGATCTACATTCACTAAACCGTGTAACACAATGCACTAAAGATCAACTAAGCCATATCTGCATTCGTTAATTCCGAAATATGGGACAGGTTGACGGTTGACCCTTATAAAAACCCAGTTTGTTTTTTTCAATAAGAGGACCTTTGCTCATTACCTCCAGTTTAAATGGCAGAATATAATCACCTGATTACCTAATTACGATTCTAATTACACAATAGGACCAGTTAATATCTAATCCATGTACATTTCATGCCAGAGTTCAGTCTAGACATATTGTTAAATGCTGTGCACATTGCCTTAAACAGCTACCATATTGTGTTCCTGATGGTCACTCTAGCAGCTTAACAGCCTGACCATTCGCAGCTTATTTTCAGTTTCACATAATTAGCCATACCATATGTGCTTTGGGAGGTTATCATAGCCAAAACATCCAGTAATCCCAACGCCGACATAATCTCCTCTGCTCTGAGCTGGATGCAGCCGCATGGCTAAACTGCTTTGGGTGGGATTGCGCAGCATGTGATCCGAGGCCCCCCTTGTGGGACCAGAACGCAGCACGGAGATACACCCCCGAGCTGACGGCCGCTGCAGGGCCTCTTGTTGTGCGTCTATCATTAAAAGTCCTAGAGTACAAGGGAAAAAATAGGTTGCCAATGGCACAGTATCTGCACTCCAAATAATAGTTTCCACGCTTGATTGATTGGACAAGGTCAACTAAAATCTGGCATGTCAATTCAAAATTGCCATGTGAATGTCCATCTTGTTCTTAAATCACCATCATTTTCCTCTTCAAGTTTATTTTGAGGATTACTTTGTAAACTCTTAGCCTAGTAAAGTGGTGCTTATTAGACTTCCCACACAGGCTTAAACTTAAAACATCCTAATTTACGCACCGCACACTGGCAGTCGAGTAGAATGAACCTACCATAACATAACTATGAGGTCCATTTGAAATGATTGTAGAACCACTGTAAAAGTATAGAAATGTAAAGAGTTCTATGTTGACTGTTCAAAAAATGCTGTTCCCTACATCTCAGATAAACTTCAATATTATAAGAAAATGTAGGCTGTGATCATTCCGGTCCGGTGTATTTGTTTTGGTGTGGTACTTGTTGATGGCACTACATTTGCAGACCTGTGTCTTGCATGAAAGGCAGCAGCCAGGTGATTACCTGTGACCGAAACTCTTGATCAAACACAAGAAGAACTTGAATCATTATTCCACATCAAACACAAGTATCGTGAGTGAAAGAAGTAGCTCCTGCCCCCCCCCCCCCTACACTCACTCTGGCAGTGTGTGTGACCTGAATATTGCCCTCAGTATTGGTGCTCATTCCGGTGGGAAATGGGTCCTTTTGTGTTTGCCCAATGGGAAGATGATTTCTCGTTTATTGGTCCAGAACCAGTCGGTCCGGGCCTTTTGTGTATCTAACTCAAAGAATTAACCATGTGACCGGCAGTTCAAAGCTTGTGGTGAACTAATGGCTGTTTGCTCTCAGTATGGCAACACAGGACGCATCTCAGAGGACGCTTTGGAAAGTCAAGTGTTGCTTTCCGATGGGGACTTTGTGTCACTGCATAAAAATGTGGCTGCTAAAACATGTCCGCCTGTCTGTGGCCTGTCATTACAGGATGAGCATGATATGTAAGGCAGATTTAAGATGAGGCAAATGTGTATTTAGCAGTCATGATTGAGAACCAGGTGTAGGCTGTGATAAGGATTTTCAAGGATGCATTACCGACTTAAAGTATTTACCCACTCACTGTTTGATCTAAGTACATCATTCACTTTAAACACACTGTGTGGGATCTTTTCTGCTTCACAGCGTTTTATTCAGTGGTTCAACGTTAAATCTGCCTGTGTTGAACATTGTGAAAAACATTCTTACTATGCATGGCATTCTCAATACTCTTAAGTGCATAACTAGGTCAGGAGTTTACCCTAATCTCCAGCTTGTGTTTATTAAATCTTTTTTTCGGTTGTTGCTGGCACTTTTGACAAACATGTTTAATAAAAAGTAGATTAGGCTTACTTCTGGGCATTTCCCTACCTCAGTTTTCCCCACTCTCCCCATCCCCTTTACTCTTTGTCAATCCTCTCCGTTCTCTTGTTAATAGTTTGTTTTTCTTTTGTCCATCTCTTCTCTACAGGCTGTATGTGTCTCCAAAGAAGCAAGTAGCCGGGTCAGAGTCTACACTGAAATGGTGTCGGCAGGCTCTTGACCATCGCAGCCCAGAGACAGAAATAGCTTGTCGGACCCTGATTAACCGCCTGGACCAGAGTATGTAAACACACACATACATTTTCAAATCAAACCCTTTGAAATGTCTTAACCAACGTATTATTAAATCTGCATTTGTATTCATTCCAGAGATTACTAATCTTCCAGTCCATCACAAGTCTAAGATAAGAAAACGTTAAAAATAAGAAACTGTATCAAGTGTTGCTCCCTTAGAGCTGCATTAAGGCACCTACATCAGCACAAGGAGACAGTGTTACCTCCCTGTGTGAATGGGCTGCTTTCTTATTTACTGCTCACCACTATTGTGTGGGCGCACCGATCTGTGGGTGTTTGAGCTGTGTGACAAAGCCCGAGCTCTCACAGCGAATGTGTACATGGTGTGTACATGGTGTGTACGTCTCTACGTGAGTGAGGACAGAAGTTGGTGTCTGATCCAACAGGCCTCATATATTATTTACCCTGCCAACGGCGGCTCCTACTTCCTGCACACCGCACAACCTGAACAACAGAGCCATTCACACCAGGGCTGAATGACCACATGAAGTCATGGGCTGGGTTGGATTACCCCCAAAACCCCCCCACCCCTGTCGGCTTTCCTTTTTAAACGGCAGCAGCAGGCCATGAAACTGCCTGTTTGCATAGAGACTATAGGGTTAGCAGAAAATGTGAATTAAAAAAAAAGAAGACATTTTATAAAGACGATTTCTAAAGTGAACTGTATATTATGTATGCAATATTGCGACAGCTTGATCTTAAAGCTATTGTGTCAAATAGTTTACACTTGCTATTACTAGTGCATTACTGTGGTCAAAGCAGGAACCCGGCAAATAAGTCTACATTTATCCATACAAAAATATGGTTGACTCTTATTGCATACATTGACCGCTGCAGCTTTATACACTGCTGTTATTTAATCCCTACAGCCCTCTGATGGAAGCAGGACACATAAATCAGATACAAATGACACCTAGTTACAAAAAAACACACATCTGTCTGGTCGGTTATAACTCTGTCTACTGTCCATTTATGCGGAAGACATCGGGTAACTGGAGCTTATTAATTCTGTGCGTCACAGCCTCGTTTCCCAAAAAAAAGTGCTTTTTTTTTTTAATGCATTATGAACTAGAGCTGCGGTCACATTTAGATCTAATGTAAATATTTATCAAAAATATTTAGCCATTCTAACTTAAATAGAGTTGCATTGATGCATTCATACATACTCCTTCACCAACCGATTATTACATTATTTGTTTAAATCCAATTAAGTCTAAAGTACCCCTCACCATCTGCCTCTGGCGGCAGATACTGTGTGTGTTCACATCGTGTCGCTCTGCACCATCCAGGCAACAACAGGATTTCCTGGGGATCCGATCCTTCATTTGTTCAGCTGTCGTCATGGGTCAATGTTATTTATTTATCACCACACCCTCTTATCTTTCTTCGCCTTCAACTCACTCTTTTGCGCTGCTGCACCTACAAAAGTGTGCGCTAAGACCTACACTTAAGATGAGGCCATTAAAATCAATCAATCCCATCCATATTTTTAGCTTCATGTCTCTCTTTTATGTCATCCTTTTGAAGTATGTGTATTCTTCTGGGAGAATATCTAACCTCTCCTCTCCTGTTCCCCGCAGCGACTCGATGGAGGAACATGTACAGTAGCCCAGCAGAGGCAGGCTCGGCTGGCTCAGGCCTGATCTCTCCTGGGTACCACAAATCAACTAACAAATCCCTACTAACCTGTGGCAGCTCAGGTATGGCATGACATTAACACACTCTGCTCCTCATGTTCTGCTCAACACTACAGTGGGATTTACGTCAGTTATTGTACGGATGTAGGTCAGTTGAGTTGTGTGTGCACTAATGCATCAACACTGTGTCTCCTCTGGGATCCCAATGGTTATTTTCAAAGACAATTCGAGCATGTTTTACACAGCTGTGTGTCGCATATACTGCACATTACTTTAACCATTTTTCAAAACATAACTTACGTTTTAATTGAATTGAATATCTACTTGCACCAGGTAGTCATTGTTTACCATTTGTTATGACTACAAATAATAGTTGAATAGCTTCTTAAATGACAAAGGTTTTTCTTCGTCATCCCGCCCAACACACATGAATGCATCACAAACAGATTCTGCCCATCCCTTCACTTCATAACAACCACAGTATTATTATTTTTATGATGAAAAGGTTATTGTTATTCCTAAATAAAAAGAACAGATACTATTCTCTACAGCTAATAGTTTAAACATGTCAACTTCCCTTGAGTTGTTTAAGTTGACTGTAAACAGTGTGCACCTGGCAGACAAACTGATCTATAACATCCGTGTGTTTTGAAAGATGGTCAGTGATTATGTAAAGTATATGTGGTTTGTACTAATGGGATAAAAACACAGGTTTCTGAAGGTGTTTGGCAATGCTAACCAGTGTGAAATGTATAATGCTGGTGATCTTGACTTTGTCGCGATTTTTACTTTGCATTTGTGTTGCTCCTCACTTTGTCTCGCAGCACCTGGCACTTCACTGTGCTGAGACCAGCCATGCTGATGTTGTTATGAATACCCTGAAAATAACAAATATTTGCATGATGGTGTAAATGCCTGGCTTGTCAGTGGTGATGCTATCTAATCCCAGACTTTTACATAACCAAATGCCCCTGGATGCTGATGTCATTTCCTATTTACCTCAGTCTGAGTGTTGCGTCTGTGACGGACAGAAACGCCCATGGCAGGGGAATTTTGCATACTGATTTCCTGGGCTTTATCACAATACCAAACTTTCTAGTAGTGATTTCATTGTTGGAGGATAGACTGCAATATTTCAAAATGTGTGCTCAAGAAAACGTTGCGGCTTCAGTCAAAAAAGTATAAGAATAATTCAAAGCTTAGAACAGATGAGCAAAACTAAACTGCACTGTATTCATGTAAAGAAAAACTCTTATTTGTTGTGAATATATGCATAAGTAGGAATGTAGCACAGCAGGGAAGTGAAATAATTGTTATTATACTATGATTTCAACCACCAAACCAAATGTAATTGTCAAATAAAGATTGATTAAATATGAATAAAGATAGTCTGCATTCCCACCATACATTCTTGGAAATGTTGCCAAGCCAGTCTGATAAATTACGTTAAGTTAGAGTCCACCTGGTGAATTATAAACTTTAATCTAAATTTGTCCTGATGCAGGCAGCACTACTAAGCTGAGGTGAGTTATAACTCACTCAACTCTAGCTGATTGGGACCAATAAAGCTTCTATTTTCCAAAATGTAATCTACTTATTTCAGCAACAGTGTGATTTAATACTCTGCTTGTTTACCTTGAGGAGATTATATGTTAAATGGTAAATATTGATAATACAATTATATGAACCTGATTAACCAGTCTCTGAGCAGAGTCTGACAGATACCACAGGCAGCAAATCAATTCAGTCACCACATAGGTGAAGGTCTGCCATTTGTCATACTCATCTTTTGGTTCAAAAGGGGGATAGTGCCTTGAATGAAATGTGTTATTTTGTGTGGTGAATTTCTTTTTTTCTGCTTGGTTTAAAATATATTTATCATCCGGTGATATGATTGTCATCTGGCTGTGCTGTGTATATTTTAACCTGGCACCATTGTCAGCACAATGAAGGTATAACCTGTCACTGCTTAGGTTTATTTAAGACACATTTAAATGCATACTAGTCGGATAGGTGTTTTGAATCATGAGGAAGGTGTAGCCATTGTTTCTTTCCTATCTGGAGAGCTTTTCTTTGAACACTTAGTATTTCCTCTTGAACAGAAGTGGAAATAACTGCTTATTGTTACCATGTATGTGTCAGAAGCAGCTTGTCGTAACAAGTACCCCACTGTGTTTCTACAGGTGTCCCAACAACCATGCATTCAGCCCTGAGCTCGCAGTCGTCCATAGACAGTGAGCTCAGCACATCAGATGACTCCATCTCTATGGGCTACAAGCTGCAGGATCTCACTGATGTCCAGATCATGGCTCGCCTGCAGGAAGAAAGTGAGTCATGGTGTGCTGTTCCGCTAGGATTTTTTCTTGCCGGTCAAATGTTCGGAAATAATTTATTTTACGGGACAAATTCGAAACTTGCCGGTCATGTTTCAATAATAATAATAATTGTGTAGCAGAGTTTCCATTAGCAGGTAATTACAGGACTATGACCGGTAATATAATGCTGATGTTTAAAACTCATTTTTATATTGCTTCAGTTTATAATCGTAACAGATCGAAAAGTTCAGATTCATTTTTCAATAAATGATGCGCTTCCACAAACAATAAAAAACATAATTGTCACATTCAAACAAACTACTTGTAGTAGATGAAGTACATTATTCAAAAGTTTACATTAACTTTGGATAATAACACGGGAGAAATGAACGGAACCCTTCTCTCTCTCCTGACAGCCCGTCAGTATCAGACTCATGCAACTCACTGATCCAGTAATGAGTGACCCGACAGTGAAGAATAAACATATTTATAACTAGTTTAGCTTGTTCCAGAGGTAGATAAAATAGCTAAGTGTGTTAGGTCTAACTTGAAGTGTGTGTTTTGCTCCGCTCACCGGTCCGTCACAGCAGACAGAGCTGCAGGTGATCATGCAGAGCTGCGTGTCTCCATATAGCTATTTTATTGTCTTTTTCAGACACCTTAAAAAACTGCCAGACTGGTGAAGCCATTTTGGTGAGCTTCTTTTGCCGCGCTCAGAGGAAAGTCTCGTGTTTTTTCGTCATCTGATCGGCTCTCCTGATCAGCCTTTATAGAGAGCACCGATCACTATTAAGAGTGAATATCGGCCGATAGTGATCGGCGGCCGATCGATCGGAGCATCCCTAATTATTACCGGACATTTTGACCGGCAGGTTTTAAATTTACCTGGTTTTTATACATTTTACCCGCTAAAAAACGGTAATTACCGGCTAACGGAAACCCTGACATTTGATTGTGTTTTCATATTTTAAACAGTACACTGCTGTTGGTGAAAGCTGATAAAGAAATGTAGAAGCACAGTAACACTTATTGCAATGATCTTTTTACACCTCTGTAGATATTTAGATAGTTTTTTATGAATTTGCAAGTGTATTTGTATGACTCCATGTATATGCAGTTTCCTTTTTTAACTGTTTTTGGTGTTAGGTCTGAGACAGGATTATGCCTCGTGCTCAGCGACTGCATCCCGACGCAGCTCCACCACCTCTCTGCATTCCCTGCGGCGGGGCGGCACCTACAGCGATCAGGAATTTGACAGTTACAGCCTGGAGGACGAAGAGGACGAGTTCTGCTCCATGCCCCAGCGCCGCCATCGCTTCACGCCCTCGCCATTAGGCTCACCACGGTGCCTGTCCCCTTCCACTTCCAACCACGGTCAGGAATACAGCAGCCGACTCGGGGCCCCACGCACAAGAACACCCAGACGGTCACTTCAGGGCCCCAGTGCAGAGCTGCTGAAATTTGCAAAGAGCGAAGGTAGGCTAACAACACAGATAGAATAGCATTAATACCATATGTCGAGAAGATCAGCGTGGCCATCACAGAGATTCTTGTTGAACCCAAAGCTGTGATTACAAACACTGAAGCTGAATGTGTCATGTATGTGTGGTTCCAGAAGAGTTGAGGCACAGCATGCCTAACCTGGCCCCCCGCACCAGCCTAAGATCCCTGGAAGCAGTCAGGAACAGCCGCAGCATGGAGGCTAACCTCCAAAGCTCTGGCAACCGCATGTCCCACCTGACCCACTCCCCCTCCACAGGTAACCCTTCCCTCTTCACCTGATCCGCACCACCCCATCTGTGTCTGCCTTGCATATACCTAATGTCACTCTAATCCTAACACTTTATTTCCTAAAACCTCTGCATGACCTCAGCTAAAAAACACAACAAACACTCACACATTTACTCCTCTTATATATTTTTCACGTGTAAATACTTTCCTAAACATGTGAAAACTCAAAAAGAAATCTTTGAAAGTCTTTGAAGGAAATGTATGTATTTCCCTTTGATCACCCTTTTTATATATAAAAAAAACAGTTATATATTTAATCTAATACTCACTCATACAACATGTGACCCACATGCAAACCATCACAAATGTTGCCACTACTCCTTCCTTGACATACCTGAAATGTAGAGGTAACCCTCCTATCACTTACCTGCTACATGATTATTTAATTACTGTCCTTTAACCTCAACCTTGATAATCCAGTACTGCTCTTGCCACACTTTCCTGCAACTCCCACAGGCCACAAATGTAGTTTGAATTTCAGTTACAGCTTATTTATCCTTTGTATATTAAATCTAAGTTGTCAGAAAGTAATAGAAGTTTGAGATTCTATTATACCACTGAGCCTCTCTTCCACTCAAGGTATGGCTAGTAGTCGGCTGCATGGCAACGGCCAGTCACCTCTCTCCCTGCGGACTCCGGTTAAAGCTGTCCCTCAAATGGCAGCTGGTCATTCTTCAAGAGGTCTTCCTGTTGTCCAAGCAGCACCTGCAGGAGGGGGCCGCAGGGTCCAGTCCGTCGGCTCGGCTAATGGAGGAGCCTACACCCCCGGGAGAGCCTCCACCGGGGCAGGGAGGGCTGCCGCGGGCCGAGGACAGGCCCCTACCAGAAGTAAACTTTCACAGCCCCCCAGGAGGTGAGTGCTTACAAACTATTAGAGAATTTTAACAAACAGAGGATTTTTTACTTTAATTATGGCAATATTGTATTTATGTCATTTCTATGATACTTTGTCTCTTTTGTGAATGAATGCTAACTTTCTATTCTTTGGCAGGTCTTTTGGCATGACTAAAATGTCAGATGAATCCTGGAAAGATGGCTGTTACTGAGCATTGCCGGTGATGGAAGGATGATAACTGCTGCAACCCTCCCCTGACCTCTCCCCGTTATCTCTCCTTGTACAAAGAACACAGCCACTGTGTCCACAAATGTGTTTTACAACCTTTGGGTCCCCCAATTTTAGACTGGAGTGCTGGGCTGCACTGGATTCGTAGTCAAGACTCATCTCTTTCCCTAGCATGAAACATTGTCAACCCACACAGAGAGGCACAGTGTGTAGGCAGACAAGAATGCACACATGCACACTATACTTGTGATATGGACCAACTCTGAGCTTCCAGAAGATTTGTTTGTGTCAATTTTACTTATTTTTCTATGGTAATTGCGAGAAACTGCTGGAATATTAAAGGTCCCTGTTCTGTTGATGTAATTGATATGAAGACGGTCTAAATGAAGATATTGGTGGTTTGTTGATTTTCTGTGGGAATTCCTACTAGATGAAGGTGCTGAGTGTTGCATGCTTGTTTTTTTTGGGTTTTTTTCCCCCTTATCAGTGTAACTGCAATATGACAAATTTTTCATGTGTCCCACAATGATGTGTGAATTTGATTGTTCAATGGTTCATTGTGAAATTATCTATAGTTTGGTGTTGTATTTGAGTTATGGTCTTTGCTTACACAGCAAGGCAACTCATGTAAACCACACTGCCCTTATAAATAATACAAACATGGAAATATATGGTTTGTGCCAAGGTGCATTTCCGCTGCAACACTTCAGAAGAATCTTGACATCAAAGGTACTGTTATAATACTGCATTTTGCAGGCATTTTTACTGCATATCTATAGGTGGTTTTAAATGTGCTTTTGGATACCACTGTAATGAAGAAGATGTTTATGCACGAAGGCCTTGTGCCTTAGACAGCTATGCACCCTCATGCAGAGTGCCTCTGACAATTAGGAGCTGTTATTAAAATTAAAAAAATAAAGGCTACCCTGAAACTTTAATTTCTGCATTTGTTTTTATGTTTGTATTATATAAACCATGCAACTAATTTGCAGCCATTAGGCACACTATTTAATCCCTCCGCAGCACAAGGAGTAGCGGCAGCATCTCCCGGATATTTCCTGCCTGGGTGCATCACCAAACGCCTCAAATGAGTGCTCGACGCTACCCACCCCTTGTGACAAAATGGCCCACAGGCCTCATCTGCGCAAACAAAATGTGAACGAAGTCGGCACCCATGTTAAAAAAAAAATGTCATGATGTGATAATATTTGAATGTTGTGTCTCAAATCCGGGCACAGATATGTTCCCATTAGGATAAAGTGTTTTAACGTTACTCTGCTCTCTTATGCATGACGCAAATAGTAAGGGATCAGCGGTAAACGAGGCCACGCATTGTCTGCCCCCCGCCCTCCCTCTGCTTGTCAGGAAGAAAGCTGATTGGCCGAGGCCTAGCAAAGGGTGCCCGGGGATCCAAAACTGCAGGCCGCACTTAGCTTACCGTCAAAAATAAACCAAAACAATAACAGACAAAACTGAGAAGGGGGAGAAACACCGATAGAGTCAGAAGAGGACGCTATCAGGTAATTTTATTTTGAATCTGTTAGAAAGGCATGTGGAATAAGACGCAAGGGCCCAGTCGGCCGTAGCGGGCCTCTTTCAGCCTTTTGGAAAACAACATGGAAGATAATGCGGCACAAGCTGCTTCACTTAGCTTAGCAAGCTAGCTAGCCTACAGGAAGATCGTCGTCGCGCGGATTAGAGCGACTTGCATAATAATTGTCATATATGGCATGTTGGTTTGTTGGTAATGCGGGTGCCTTTATTCAGAGTGTATAGTTGAATGCATTTGAGTTTAAAATGGTCAAATAAGAGCGGTTGTCGCATTCCTTGGAGTAGCAGTTATGCTAGAACAAAATGGCGCCTCGGAGGATCAGTCCTAGCTCGCTTGCTAGTTAGCTCTGGTGGGTGGAGGGCGGTAGCCGCCCTGGTATGCATTGCATAACGTCTGCGGTACTTTCATTGGCGGCCATAAACTCAAAGCTAGTGTTGATTTTTTTGAAAGTCCAGAAATAAATACTTTTTTAATAAGACCAATGCATAAGCTCCTTGCTTATTTTATCCTTAAGTTATATATCCGCGGGACCTTAACGTCACCACAGAAGACATTACCCACTTGGCTTATTTTGAACCGTCATGCGACGGCAATACATTCATTTATACATAAACAAGCAGGACTCATCTTTCAATAGCTATCAGAGCTGCTGACTGTGGGCTCGTCCTCCTGCACACTGAGCGGGACAGCCCTTTGTCTCAGCTGGGCTGCAGCCATCAGGCTCAACCAGCTCCAGGTGTATTGCTATATCAGGTTGAAGCCGCCTGTAGTACTACTTATAAGCAATGGATGGAGCCAGTGGTCAACAACAAAACTGCCCTCCTCCTCAGTGAAAGTGTTCGGCCCTGTGTGTTAACGTTACACATTCCATTAATTATGGTGTTAACACTGTTCTTATTATAAAGCTGAACATATGTATACAAGTTGTGTTGTAACGTCTTTACATACCTGCCTCCTTTCTGTTCCCTTCTATTATGTGCACAATGCCTATGAGTACCAATTGTTTATGTTTGTTTTTTTCTTTTACCAAGGGATTGATTAACTTGATGGAAGGAAGCACATCAATAACCCTGTTGGTTGTATTCTAAGGGGTTTGTCATCAAATGTGAAGGTATGTATTGGATACTAGTCTGTGTTGCATTTTGCTTTCATTTTCACTTTAGTAAAGCACACTAACACAGTACAAGAAAACTGCTAACAGTGTACACTGTAATTTTAAGGCTTTTCCCCAAGTAAAGACATGGATCAAGGAGGAGGAGTGTTGGAGCTACACACTCAGGAGCTTAAGATGCCCCACGCTATGATCATGCAAGACTTTGGTAAGTGGTCAAATAGGACAAGCTGAAAACCAATCATTTCAAAATGTAATCCAATACACACCATCCGACAAATTAAAGTATAGCTAAAACCTAAATATCTTTAAGATTGAATCAGTCATTTCTTAAAATAATGTAATCACTTTTAACTATGTAAGAGAGCTGCTCTAGACACACTTTATAAACTATACTATACTTCTATACAATCAGGTTGATTTGGTCTCCTCCGTCACGTTGACAGGGCCAATGTCATTTGGTTTTATTGCCTACATAAATAAAAAAAAGTCACTGTTACAAACATTGTCATTCTGACGTTTTCCCAACAAACCACCATAGAGCAGGTGATACCTGTCACCAATATTATACAATATTCTGTTCAGATATCTCTGCTGTAGCTACAATGTTAAACACACTCTGCAGCTTATATGCTCATTTTGTTTTAGGAAACTCTTTGTCATGCAGCCCTCTCTGTGTGTCTTGTGTTTACAGTTGCAGGCATGGGGGGTCTGGCTCACATCGACGGGGAGCATATTGTGGTGTCTGTGCCTGAAGGTATGCTTCTTTCTGATGTGATGACGGACGAGGGCATCCTCCTGGAGCATGAGCTTGAGGTTCACTGCCTGGAGACTGAGGTGGTGGAAGAATTCGAGACGGAAGTGGTGGAGAGCTTACATGCAGACGTTGACTGCTTGGAGGAAGAAGAGGTCGAAGGGCTAGAGACACATGTGGTAGAGCTGGAGGCTCAGGTTGTCGAGGGCCTCGATGACGAGGTGGAAGTGGAGGGTCTGGAGGCGCATGTGGTTGAGGGCCTGGAAACTGAGGTTGATGTCGAAGACCTGGGAGTTCACATCGTCGAAGGCCTTGAGGAAGAAGTGGAAGTGGAGGGTTTGGAGGCGGAGGTTGTTGAAGGCCTGGAGGTAGATGTGGAGAGTCTGCAGTCGCAAGGAGTAGAAGCCCATGAAATTAGCTCTGAAGACATGGTGACCTCAGAACACAGTGTGATCATGCCTGAGAATATTCTGGGCACAGAGGTTGCAATAGAGGAAGATCTGGACCCCCATCATCACCATCACCACCACCATCACCACCATCATCATGTCCTCACTGCAGACCTCATCCAGGACTCAAACCACCATCATGATGACATGCCAGACCAGGTGTTTGTGGCGGAGCTGCTGTCTGAGCACCAGGACAACACGCTGGACCACCAGTTAGTGTCAGAAGGCTTGATGGTGACCGAATCCAACTCGGAGACCATCATCCACCAACAGATGCCAGCAGAGGCTGTCTCCCTGCAGACGGACGAGGATGATGATGCAAGAAGCAGCTCTGAAGATTACCTCATGATCTCCTGTAAGACATAATTTCATCATTTATATGTTAATTAACTTTGTTCATATGTAATACCATGTTTTATTATTGATATGTTTTATGAACTATGACTACTTGTGTTACTGTAGTGGATGAGGTGGGAGAGAAGCTGGACATAGGAGACACTCCCCTGGAGATCAGCACTGAGGTAATGGAAGACAAGGAGTGTAAAGAGGAGGACGGCTCCGAGGTCATCAAAGTCTACATTTTCAAAGCTGAAGCAGATGATGACTTGGGTAAGTGACTTTTTAGAATAATCAAATCATTTCAACAATACAACACAATTCTTCCCTGTTAAACGTAATGTTGATCATGGATTGGATTTCAATTGTAATGTTATCTCTTTCCAGGTGGAACAGAGGTAATAACAGAGGATGATTACCAGAATGGCCATCCTGACCTGGAAGCTGCATCGTCAGGCAGACTGGGAGTTGGCCGTGACAAGATGGTCTACATGGCGGTCAAGAACCATCCGAAAGAAGAAGAGGATGATGAGGATGACAGTGACGAGGATGACGATGATGACATCAGTATGTCCCTTTGTGAAACCACTTTAATTGTATTGTGTCAGCCGGGTCGTGTGGCTGTAAACGAGCAAAAGGTGTCAATTAGAGTTGCATGACATGACGAATGTGTGCAATACGTTGTTTAATATCGCCATAGCAATACAACATGTTCATCACTGTTAAATACAACGGTTAAAGTGTATTCACTTCAGCCTTCCCACTGCTTTTTGAATACTGCTAAAATACAACAAGTTGCTTGTCTGTCTGCGATACAAATCGAAAGGAAAAACACACCGATAATAGATCTAGTTAAACACAGGCACAAAACAAACAATTGTTAGTTAATTAGTTATCTAATTATGGCTACTAGCTGAAACAATCTTCTTTTGCGCCCATAATAAACAAGCAGTTTCTTTTGCGATGAGCTGACATTGAAATGATTATGATTTATATACAACACATTGAGTGTTAGAAGGAGATCAGTAAGAGGGGGTTGCTGTATGTCAGCAGTCTTTTTAAATGAGTAACCTTTGGACAGTTTGCACAGCATGTGTCACAGCTCAGATATATGCCATATTAATACATTTTGAAAGTGCATTAGAGCATATTTTCAAATAATCAATTTTAGCAAAACTTACAATTAAAAGTTAATTCTATTTTTTCCGTGCAGGTAATACCATCGATCAGGTGAAGAATGGAGCGGCTTCACCGTTTCTGCAAATCCGAGAGGGACTCGGGGACAACCGTGTCCTTAAACCCAAAACTAAGAAAAAGAAGAAAGGAGATATTCGACAGTCTCAGACTGGTATGAACAGATTTAGAATTTGTGTGAAGAAGATAATTTGCTAGTGAGAATGTAATATTTTTGGATGGATAACAGTATTTCCACCGCTCTCTTCCAGCTGTTATCATCGGACCAGATGGGTTGCCCTTGACTGTCTACCCCTGTCACCTATGTGGAAAGAAGTTTCGCTCAAGAGGCTTCCTCAAATGCCACATGAAGAACCACCCGGACCACCCGCTGAAGAAGAAATACCAATGTACAGACTGCGACTTCACCACCAACAAGAAAATCAGTTTCCACAACCACCTCGAGAGTCACAAGCTGCTGAGTCACAACGAGCGCTCTCCAGAATACAGCGAGTACGCGCGGCGCTACCACGAGTCCAGCCCTCTGGGCTCCGACAAGCTCA